GTCCTGCATGTCTTTGCTCTCCTCTTTGATCCAGTCTGCATCCGCATTGTGCTTGACAGCAGTAGACCAAAGAGAAAACCAATAATTTATGAGTTTTTCTTCAGTTGGCATGCCACTGTATTGAATATCTGAAGCGGATTTGGTATTAATTTGCCCGTAGAAGAGTTTTTCATTATTTTGTTGTTTTCACATAGAGCAATTTTTGTATCATTTAAGTTGCTGTGCTTTGACTAAGTTTTTGTTTAAGTGTATCAACATATTCTGCAATGTGGACATTATGTTGTTTGTGCTTTGTGTGTGTTTTAATTTTCTTGAAAATGTTTTTGAGTTGTTTCTTTAATTTGGGTGTTATGTTGTTTTTAGTGTATTGTGTCAGCCTGCCTAATTGCTGTCTAATGTCATTTATTTGTGTTTCTATTCATTTTTCCAGGCAGTCTTCTGAAGTATTTTTGATTTGTGTGAATTCTGTCTGTGGATGCACTCTCAGTCCATAATAGGTCACTACTGTGACTGCAACTGAGTAGACTAATGTGTGAATGTCTAAGAGTATAGAAATAGAATGAGTGCAATCTGGTAATATGTAAGTGTTCACATAATGTAGAGTTTTCCCTACTAGTTTAGAAATGTTGATTTTGGAAATGTGTGGCCATTGTGCAGGGTCAATGCCTATAAATTTTGTGAGTGCTTCCTGGAAAAGAAGAGAGAGAGTATGAATTAAACCTGAATCTATTTCAGGCAGTGAAGAAGTGTTGATACTATCAGCATCAGTGAAAACAGTGATGGCAGGAATAACATTGTATCTTGATAAGCCAGAAGGATTATGTGATTGTTGTTGATGTTGGAAGTATTTGTTTGTTGGTATAATTGTTCTGTGTTCTAAAATTTGTTGTTTGATTTGTTCTAGTGTTGTTTGTGGTATAAGACTGTTATGTATAATTGTTCTTTTTTGATCAACCATCCTTTGTACAGTGACAGTGAGATGAGGATAATGTTGTGAGAACAAGTGATATAACTGTTGTCTGTATGCTGTCATGTCTGTTTCAAGTTTTGTGATGGTGTAGTAAATACAGATTATAAAGTCATTCATTTCTGATGTCCATTTCATCTGTTGGCATGGTTTAGCTGCCTTAGTGGTCTGTGGCTGGATTGAGTCAGAAACATCAAAAATAGTCTGGTTTTCCACAACTGGTGTGGGCATTGCAGTAGCAATACCTGAACCAGTGCTGCTTTCACTACTGGTGGCCAAGGGAAACTGTGACAAATTTTTTTGAACACAAACCTCTGTCTAACTCACAAGCATGGACCTTGTTAACCTGGGTGACATCTGAGCCAGTATTACATTTGGATTGTGTTATTACCATTGTTAGATCACCACAAATGTGGGTTCAGTCACTCTTGGCTTCATTCCTCCCCATAGGCCATACTGGCATGGGTGACCTATCAAGGACAGATGCTCCAGCCAGCATAGCTCTGTAGTTCATCAGAATTACTGAGCTCTTTCATCACAACAATGTGTTATTATTATTATTATTATTCAAACTTTTAATACCAATAAATTCAATGTATTTACACACAGGCAGTGCCGTCTTTAGGGCATGGCCCCCAGGCCGTAGGGCGCCCCTAATCCAAAAGTAATAAAATTACAAATAAAAAATAGATTAAATAAAATAAACAAATTATTAAAAATATCAAATAATTTATTTCTCCTATACATAATTAAAAATGATCTTAAAACTAAGCAAACTTACAAAATTTTTGATTCTTCTTATTCACCATACCTTGGCTGAAAATGGTACTTTCTTCCTGCTGCATGGAAAAATAATTCCACTTCCTGGCCAAGGGAGGTGAAAAATCATATATACTCTATGGGAGGAAACAAATAATGCATCCCTAGGTCTTTAATATAACTATTGTTTCTGTTTCATTAAGGGGACTCCATCTTGGTCCTGGCCCAGCGCCTCTTACGTTCTAAAGACGGCACTGTATACAGGGTGATTCTGAAATAAGTGTGCATTCTGAAGAACATTACAGTGACTCAGAAAATATCAGCAGTCCCTGAATTTTCTGGATTTATCTGAGAATCCAATGAGAGTTCTGAAAATTACACATATTGCTTCTAACCAATGAAAATTAACTTTTTACATTTTTTGAACTGAAATCTGCCAAATTGCTCAATTTATTGGATTCTCTTGCAATTTTTAAAAATACATTCATAATTTTTTGAAAAAAATGTTATGTATGCAGTCACCAATGCCAATCGTAGGTACAAAAAACCATTTCAGATTTCAGAACAAAAGCAGAGACACCTCTGGATATCATTTCATAAACAATGTTGCCAGGTTGAATTACTTTATGCCAAATTCAAATTTTTTTAATTGATGAAAATAAAAATTGTTAGCATCTTGGCTATCTTTTGAGCTAATTTAATTTTATTTTGTAACTTTTTGGCTACTTTTTAATAAATTATTGGTGACATTTCCTGTTAAGACCTCGCAACAGTGTGAAGTGCAGAAGTGAGTGCAACCTCAAAGTTTTATATTCAGCTACAGAAAAGGAAATTTAATGGGTAAGCAAAAATTCCATATCTCAACTTCTGCTGAAGTGGGTGAGGGAAGTGAAGTCAGCCAAGAGACCCAAAACTGTTCTACCAGGTATGTCAAAATGCATTTGTGTGCATGAAGAAATCACATTTTGAGGATTGTGTGCATTCTGCAAGACACATGCAAGTAGCATGTCAACAGGATCAAACATCCCACATGCTGCTCACAAAAATAGAAATCTCAGGATCAAGAAAATATTTTTCTTAGATATAGCAAGGACCTTTATAGGATGTGATATAAAACCACATAAACTGAAGAATTCCTTGCTCAGGAAGTACTTAGAAAAATACACGAAGCAAAATCTTCCTGATGAATCAACACTACAGAAGAATTATCTTCCATGTGTTCATCAGAAAGTTCTTGAAGAAATTAGTGACAATGCTATGGTTTGTTGTAAATGAAAGTACAGACACATGTGGATGATATGTTGCTTCAATCGTATTAGGGATGGAAAAAACTGCACTAAGATTTATCTTCTTTTATGTAAATTTCTGGATAGGATGAATTCAGAAGCACTATCAAGATTTGTTCACAAAAGTCTGATGTTACTGTGGCAAGATCAATTTCTCCAAAATACTGAAAAACTTGTCGTCATGCTTACAGACGGTGCAGCATACATGAAGCAAACTGCATGCATTTTGAAGTCTTTTTTTATATAATCTTATTCACATAATTTGCCTGAATCACACTTTACATCTTCTGGCCAAACAAGTTTGTTTTACATTTTAAAGATGTAAACACCCTCGTTTGTTCCTGCATGAAACAAGAAACTACTTACAAAGGCACCAATGGAAACTACTATGTATCATGAGTATCTGTCAGATACTCCTTTACCACTCTCTCCCATATGTCATGAGATGAGGCACATGGATAAAAGCAGTAATATTATATGCAAACCATTTACAAACTTTCAAAATTTTATCTATAAACTGGATGAAACAGAAAGTTCTTTCATTGTAGATGTTAAGGAAGCTTTGGAGAATCCCCATTTAACCACTTCTCTAGTTTACATCCAAGCCAATATCTTAAATTTTCTGGATATTATTGAAGCATTAGAAGCAAGAGGGTTGTCACTTGAAGAATCTCTAAAAATTTTTCAAATAGCAGAGGATTCTATACAAAATCTTCCTGGTGTATGTAGAGACAAACTTTGCCTGAGCCAGCAGCACTTTTGGAGAAGTACAGTAGTTTTTCTGTGCTTCACTAAATTAATAACTGTCTAGTTGGAAAATTGTCTGAAATCCCAGAGGATATAGGACTTGCCAATGTACTTTGCTGAAATACTGTCCTGTGACTATAATTGAGACCAAGAGAAGTTTTTGTTGTATAAAAACATTCTCACTGACTGCTGACAGTCTGACAGAAGAAAATATTAATAAACTTCTTGTATGTACTATACATGGTCATATTCAAACAGTTCATAATATTGTATACTGCTAATAAACAGATAACTGAAGAAAATTTGGTAATTTTGTTTTGTTTTTATTATTTTTTGTTCCAAGAATATATCCAAAATCACCAGCGTTTCAATCTGATTTTAGATCTGAAATTCCACTTTTATCAGTCTGAAAAATCTAGGACTTAATGATCAATTTTTGCTAGTATACTATGTACTGCAGATGGCCACATTGGAAACATCTAGGGGAAACGATGGTAAAATTGCACATTGGTTGTTCAGTCCTACAAGTTTGTTGTCATTGTGCAATATATACTGGTGAGTAGCAGGTGCCAGTTTCATTGTGTTGTGGTGGTCAATCAGAAATTACACAGGCAATAGATTACATGTCACAAACTTGCTAATATGCACTTAGCACTAGGGATAGCTAGCACACTACATGGCTCATGCCAACTGTAGAATGAACAATTTGCTGAATATGTGTACCTTTTTCACTGTGTACCAACATTTTGATAAGGAAATACTGCACAAGAATCATAATGAAGAAAATGAATGGCAAGGAAATACTGCACAAGAATCATAATGAAGAAAATGAATGGCAAGCATTTTGAATAATTATTATAAATTCTGAACATGTTTCCTCTCTTTCAATAAACTGTTGCCATACCATTGCTGCATTTCCCATGCATTCCTTGTGTCTTGCACAACAACAGACCTCAAACAGTAGACTGCCTACCTGTTGAAAGCAGCACTAACTGTCATTTTCTGATGTGATGACATATCTGTGGATATAGTGTATTAGTAAAAAATATTTGTTTTTATCACACTTATGTTCCTCAGAATATGCACACTTTTTTCAGAATCTCCTTGTATATGAATATGTAGATAGATCTTAAAATAACATATAGACATATAGTGAAAAGAGTACTTAAATATGAACATCATTGTTATAACTACTGTATATAAATTAAAAATTTTAAAAGAGAGTAAATAAATTATCAAACCTTGATATAATTCCCAACAATTGAAACATTTTTAAAGTCTAACGCAGCATCAATTTCATCCATTACATACAAAGGTGTAGGTTTATAATAGTGAAGAGCAAATACAAGAGCCAGAGAACTTAATGTTTTCTCTCCACCAGATAAATTAGATATATTTTTCCATGACTTTTTTGGTGGGCGCACACTTTAATAAATACAAACAAAACATAATTTTCATCATTTCTCTTATACAATACAAACCAAAGTTTCTAACTTTTATAATTAATAAAGTTTCCATACAAAAAATTCTTACCTAAAAACAATGCCTTCTGAAAAAGGATCTAATGAATCTACTAATTCTAACTCTGCATCTCCACCTAATGTCACCATTTGATACATTTCTTTCAGTTTTGTTGTTATGATAGAAAAACCAGTCATAAATTCATTAAGACGCTGCTTTCTTAAGTCATCATGGTAACCTCTTTGAGTATCTCGTTGTTGTGTGATACTGTCAAGTTCAGAAACACGCTGAACATATATTGCTTCCTTTAAAAAATTTAAATAAAAAATAAATTTTAATTAGATTTTAAAGTATTTCCTTATTTGCTACAATTTAGTTTAATGCATTTCATGGCTTTGCAACATTTATATTGAACTTTAAAGTATGAAATGTGCTTTACAGTTTCTTAACAAAAAACTTAAAATCTTCATATTAAAAAAGTAAACCAAATCTAAAACACATCAAATTAATGCCTTTCAATAATTAAATTATCTAAACAAAAAATTATTTTATATGGCCACAATACACTACAGATTATGTATTTAATTTTGTATATTTCTATCTGTTTGATTCATACATAATAAGATCATCCAATGAAGACATCAGTGAAATGGAAAATGAAGATCCACTTCAAACTACCCACAAAAATAATCATGATATTCAAACTGAACTGAAGACTGAACAGCTGTATAACTTGATATCACAAGATAAGATATGCTGTTGTAACAATTATTTATGACATACAAGTATTCATTTTAATATTACTGCTGGCAATATATGAAAATCCTATTTAAAAAATGTATCCAAAACAGTCACTAATTCATTTATAATTCATTTACCTTTTATTATAGTTTAAAAAATAAAATAAAGATAAAATACTTTGTTTTTGATATAAAACTGTTCTAAGCAAATATCAAACAATTTCCAGATTACATTGGGCTATAATAATGCTACTAATTATTAAGTAATTTGCCTAGAGATAGGCATTAGAGACCATCTCTTAATAAGTTTAATTATTATAATTAAATTAATATTTAAATTTAGAAGGTTCTGGAAGAAAACAATTGGCCTGAAGTACAAGTCAAATCTGCAGTTCCTACTTGTCCTGAAGACATGCTGCCAATTACACTACCCAGATCATCTGATCTTCACTTCCAGAACTATTAATTCAGACATAACCATATTAAGTTAGATTTAGATAAAATGGTACTGTGAGTAATCAGTATGGCAATTGATAATGCATATGCATGGCAAACAGAAGCTGCAGATTTGAGTCCCACTTCAGGCCAATTGTTTTCTTCAGAACCTTCTAAATGATTAAATATTAATTTAATTATAATTATTAAATTCATCAAGAGATGACACTTAATGTTTACTCTAGGCAAATTACTTAATAATTAGTATCATTATTAAAGCTCAATGTGATCCAGCAGTTGTTTGATGTTAAACTAAAAATCAGGTTAATAGATGTTAATGTTTATATTTGAATATTCTAAGTAAACAAATAGGAAATATTTAAAACATTTTTTTAAGAAAGTTTCTTCATTTTTGTGTAAAAAAAAATTCTAGAAGAATATGGCAATGTACTCATATTTTACTTTTTAAATCAATAATAATTAATAACTGATAATCATTAAATTAACATTAACAATGATAATTTAAAAATTCAGTAACTAAAATAAATTTTTAATATGCATTGAGAATCTGCCAATATTTGACAGACATGATTAATAGTCCTAGAAAGCTGCATTTTAACTAGTCTCTTAATTAAGAAGCAACCTTTCTTTTTACAGTATAAAAACTTTTATTCTTATTATCTTGTATGCTTTTATAAACTATGAATATAAATTTGACTATTATAGTTATTTATACATAAGAATTAATGATAAAAAATTTATTTTATAATGATCTATAAAAACATAATTCAATATAATGTGAATTAAAACATTAACTAAGATTTGAATTTGCCAATTTTAATAAATTCAAGGTTGATTTACCAAAGATAAACACACAACTAAAACAAATACAAAGTGAAAACACTAAACACTTTAATAAAAAGTTTTTTAGCCAGGATTTAAGTATAAACTTTGAAAAAATAAAATTTTTCATTGGATAAACTGTATAAGTGTTCTCTTTCATTGTTCCTTCATACATCATCAGTATGCTGCTGCCAGAGGAAACTTTGTAACATTTTGCATGTTGAGGCGGAGAAGTAGTCTCCAAATAAAGGTCATCTCTGCCGTGAAATTGTTATTTCCTGATGGTGTACAAAGGGACAACAAAAGAGAACACTTTTACAGTTCATCCAATAAAAAATTTTTATTTTTTCAAAGCAAACATTTTGTGAATCGAGAGGGTTGAGTTGCGAGCTCGTCCCCACTTATTGGCTTCTTTGTCAGGAGATGGCCTATGTTGTAAACGAGTGGGAGGGTTGGTGAGGTCGTGACAAGGTGTCGGCCATACTCAAGGATAACACATATTTAAACGTAAGAATAACATAATTAATAAACTACAAAATTATACACAGCGAATACAAAAGCAAATGGATACAAAAGATGGAAATAGTTAAAAATTCTAGGTCGCAACAATGATAATTTTGTTCTTATCGATAGACCGTCTAACTTCTAGACCTTTATCAGTCCCAAAATTCTTTAAGTTAAATTAACCTTAATCTAACTTATAACCAGGACTGTGGAGTCGGAGTCGGAGTCGTGGAGTTTTGGTGTTTTAGCCGGAGTCAGAGTCATCAAAAAATCCACCGACTCAGACTACTTTTTACTTACCAACTTGTTATGTATATAAAATGGAAAAGTATTGGAATCATGTCAAATTTGACCATCCAAGTTTTTTTTTTTTTTTTTGCAAAGCTACACATTTGGAGACCTCCCGAACCCCTCAAAAAAGTCAATAAAGGGAAAAAATGTGCACGCATGTGTATGTTGGTGTCTAATTTGTTTAATATTTTTATTTTCTGTTCCGAGATATTAAACAATATCTCAGAATGGGTAAAGTTTAAGAAATGAAATGTGGCACTGTAGCTTGCGTATAAAGGGGCATTAATACTATTAAATTTTGGTTCTTAATTAAAGGTCGACAGGGTGAAGACCTAAAAGTGGTCACGTGTCATATCTCTTAATGAATATTTTACTCGTTATTAGCATTCAAAATTAGAAAAAAATAAAATAAAACTCGTCTCTACCCTCAAAGTAAGCTTTTTAGCCATTTTATAATAGTACAGTAAAACCCATTAAGATGTTCTCGCCTAAGATGTTAGAATGTATATGGGGACACGATTTAGTTCAAGCACTTTAACGCTTAATAACTAACTCCTGTGTTAAACCATCTGACTCCAATTCTGACCACTCTGACCACAGAAATTATTAGGCTTCAAACAGGGTGAACAAAATCATGCCCCCCCACACAGTCTAAAATCCACACGTATAGAAAAAACCTAGAGTCTTTTGCATATGTCGAAATTTCAAGGTGTCCTGAGTCCAAAAATGTAAAAATTTTTAAACTCATTTTTTGACCAAGCACTACACTTTTTCTCTGTTATATATAACAGCCAGAAAGTAAAAATTATCGAATACATATTTATATATTACTTAAAGAAGTCTTTTAGCTTTAGAATATCTACGCTCTATCTTTATTAGAACTCTATTTATTGAATCTTTTATTCTGAGGTCACGTGATAACATCAGAATTTCCGGGTTTCTTTCGGTAACAAATCCGTCCCTGGTCGGAGTCGGACAGTAAGGAAAAGTCGGAGTCGGAGTCAGAGTCGGTAGATTTTTACACGATTCCACAGCACTGCTTATAACCGAGAGAGAGAGTTTTAATTTCTCTAAGTAATTACTTCTTCTGCTGTGACAATCAAGTTCCAAGCAGTCTTTCTTCAAGAGCACAGAGCAGTGGTCCAAATCATTACCAACCTGGAGTCTTCCCTATGGCGATCGACCCAAGGCGCGGGTGCAATCCCTTTTTATGCATGTCCCGGAGGGGAAACTATTGGGGAAAATTCTGATGCAATCCCATCTAAGTTTGATTTGTGTCCGGGTGTTGTTTATGTTAATTGTCAGAAATTGAACATTTCAACAAATTTATTACTTCTTTCTATCTGATATTGTTACTCATTCTACATCATAAAATTGATAACAGCTGTCAAACTCATGGAATTAATTGCTGGAAGTTTGTAGTGCAACCTTAGTAATAATTGTTCATTTGCTGGTTCATCTGATTGGTTTTATCAACGTTAAAATTTGGCAAAATAGAAAGTGTGTGAGTTTGTTCAGTTCAGACTCTTTTTGTTGGTGATCTTTTTGTTACCCTCTATCGTGTAACAAGTTTTGATTCTTGTTAATTGGCTAGTTATTTGTAGATCATAACGAAGGTGGAAATGAATGATCCTCTGGTTGCGATGGGAGAACCTTATATGTCATCCGTGATGTATTTAAAAGTTTAATAGGTCACTTCTCGAAATGACACAGAAAACTGAAGGGTCAAAAGGTCTAATTTCAACCTCCCAGAAAGGGGAAACAGAAGGAAGAAGGGAAACAATGATTGAAAAAATATATATATTTTGAATTATACTACTTATGTATTTAAGAGTATATTAAAATGTGTAGTCTCAATGAAAAAAAAAAAAAAAAGTTATTGAAGCTTTAAAATTCATAAAAGAGTTTTCATTCTCACAATTTTCTTTATAGCTTAGTTATCAAATTATACAAAAGAAAATAAAGTTTATAAGTAATTCCTTTAATAATAAACTCTATTTTCTAGTTATGTTATGTATTCAAGTACAGTAGAGTGTCATTTATCCAAATCAATTGGGGACTGGGATTGTTCGGATAACTTATTTTTCGGATAACCGATTATGTACGAAAAAATATATTAACCTATCCCATGTTAAAATTTTTCTCTATTGCATGTTGCTTCACGTTGAATTTTCGTCAATGTTAAGTCTAACATAAATTTTTTAAAATAATAATTGTGGCTATTGTATCATTAAAAAATTATTTCTTTATTTTGTACAAACAAAATAAATATATTGAAAAATATAAAAACAAAAAAGTAATTTTGGAAGTTAATCTAGTATCAAAAACGTTCGATTCGATGACACAGTCCAACTGAAATGCTTTTGGTTAATGAATGTTTCGGTTGATCAGCTTTCAGATAAATGACACTCTACTGTATATGTAAGTTTAAAATTACAAGTTTCTTACCTTTTTTTTATATTCTGCAATAGCAGCCATATTAGGTGTCATTTTCTGTAAACTTTCCTCCATTATTAATAATTCATACTTAACTGATTCTGAATCAACATTCATAAGTTCTTCAGAATCTAATTTTGGTAACTTATCTGGGACTTCATTATCAACTTCTTGTAATTTTAAATTATCTAGCTAATTTAAACATTAAAAAAATCAATAAGAATGAAATTCTTATTCGTTTTACATTCAATAAGTAATAAAACTACCTGAGAAGTCCAGTGTTTTATCTTGGCATTGCTATCTTGAACTTTTGCTTTACATCTATCAAGTTCATTTTTAATTTCAATGTGATCACTATTCAATTTGTTTTCCTTTTCTTTTAATTGTTTTATTTCTTTCATAACAATCTGCATCTTTTCTTCGCATTCTTCTTTAGATTTCTAAATGTATGATTTAATAAATGAAGAAATAATGTTTTAGATTTCAAATAAGAAAAGTCAACAAGAAGTCAGTTTTAATTAATAAACATTATACAAAGGAGTAACAAAATAGAATTTTTGTAACATTAACGCAGATAATTGTATAAAACAAATTAATATTGGCAACAAAACTGATTTTAAGTAAAACCAATTAATCTGTTTCCAGAAAAACTAAAAACTGATTTTAAAGCAGGCAATGAACTTTGTCTCACTTTGTTTACTTGTCTTTTTGACTTTTAGTTGACTTTTAGCTTGAATTTACGATAATTCCACAAAACTGTTATGCTACTGGAAAATGTCATTGTAACATTACAATTTGTACAAAACATCAATTTATCATCCTTGACTTTTTTTATATAATATCATGCATTAACTATGTCTAAATTTTTAAATCAAAATTAAAAATCAGCATGAAATAATTTTAAAACAATAAAGTTTTCAAATGCTATTTGTTAAACACTTGTCAAACATTCCAGTATTTACCAACATCAAAGAAACACTGACCTCTTTTTTGCAAAAACATGAGATATAGGCATATTTGTGAGTTTTACAAGAAGAGGGTCAGACATGCAGGTTTCCAATTCAATCAAAACTTGGTGAGCATTTAGCCCTATAAACAAAAAGTTCCTTGTTCAAATAATAGGACCCACTTCTCAAGCATTTCTGAAAAACAGACCTCTGAAAATTGAGTGTCTAGCTTATAAGTCTTTGGAAGTTTCTCATCATGTTGCTAGCTAAGTGGATAAGATGCTAGGCACTGGATCCACAAGACAGTTCAAATCTTTGTAATTTTAGTTTTTTTATTTATAATAATTATTTTACTGTATCATTAGCATTTTCTGTGTGTGTAAATATTTCTGGATCCCTTTTTCTTCTCTGGGATACATAAATTTATTTCCAGGCTTAATGGGATTTTTGGGAGTGGTGTCATCTTTATTAGGCATGATTCCCATTGTAGATGTGTCATACAAGCTAGTATCCAGTTAGTAATATGAGTTACCACCACTTAAAAACAAACCGTACTACTTCCATAGTTTGATCCAATTATTATTTTGTATATTATATAGTTTTAAATGTACTTGCTACAATGGAATCTTTACAGTGATAAAAAAATAACAATCATTAGCATTATTATTACTATTATTATTCCTCATGTTTAAAGCTTATAAAATAAGAGATTAAAAATTGTGACGTCATTTCCTGTTTAGTGAAAACAAGTCTCTGTAGAGTTAACTCTTTAATGTTGTTAAATAAGACTAGACTTTGATTTCTTCACATTTAAAACTAAACTACAAAAGCATTAACTAANAAAAGTCTCTCTAAATTAAATTTTTATATTGTTAAATAAAATTTTTATTTTTTCATATTTATTCTCAGATATTTTCACTGAACATATGAAGAAAATAAGCTTCAGACATTCAGCGAAAATATCTCAAAATATTAAGTTTCAGACGTTACTGCATAAGGATGAAAAGGGAAAGTCTGATATGAAAATAGGGTAGTACAGTTGCAGAATTTTTTTAATTGTTAATGTTATTGACAATTTCTCCATGTGCTCATGTTTGTTACACTTCAAATATAACAATACCACCATATTTGAAAATAAATATGAAGAAATAGAAAAAAACAACTAAAATTGCAAAGATTTGAACTTTTATCATGTAGATCCAATGGCTAGCATGTTATCCACTTGGCTATTGGCATTCTAAGGAGATGCAAAATTTCCAGACTTATAAACAACTCACATTTGACATATTGGAGTCCTGGATGTATGTGTTGCACATTTGCATTTTGCCTGTCACCATATCTGTGTTGTTTCCATTCCATTTTAATTTCACCTGATACATGACAGAGTAACCAAACTTTAAATGGGGGAAAGCATAAACTTTGAGTAGTTCACCTAATGAAGAGATATGGTGTAAATAAATTTTAAAACAGAATAAAACAAATTTGACAATTACAAAATAAATAAACTACCACACAGCACTTAAAAGTAATGCTATGCAATGGTCAATAAAATTATCATAAAATGTACAGCTCAATTCTGACTGAATCATTACCAACCAACCAGCCAACCATAAAATGTACATTTTTAGTTATTACAATGATACAATGATCAAGTGTCAGTTTGTTTTAATGTACTAAATTTCTCTTGCTAGGAAAGCTAAGTTCTGAAGAAATCTTTACCAAAATCTTTGGATAAACCAAGCCACTTGCTACAAAATTCAGCTGTAGATGATTTGTATCCTTTTGTGTGGTTAAGAGTTAAAAATTGGGTTATTAAGACAAAGTGTCACCATATTCTATCTTTGGCCATGAACTAGGATCCTCTAAGAATAAATTTGAATCATCTTTGTACAAATTAAGTCCACTATACGTTAAAATTTCACTTCTGTACCACTTGACGTCCTGACTAGTAAAAGTCGGTAAATAACTAGTAAAAAAATCTAGTAATGAGTTGCATAACTTTCCTGGCCATTATAAGATCTTAATTAGAAAGTAAATTTCATATTGTTAAACATAATTAATGGTGCCACACACAAATTTATTTATGAGATTTTATTATAAAAAACTGTTTATATTTTTCTTCTTCATCTGGCATTATGATCCTTGGAGGCCCTTAGCCACAGCCACAATCCTTCTCCGTCTCATTTGGTCTACAGCCTGCCTCTGCCAATTTCCGATTCTGAGGTTTTGAAGATCTTCAGTGACCCCATCCATCCATCTTTTTCTGAGATGGTCTCTTTCCTTTCCCCTCATAATGGAGCCCTCATGAAGCTATTGCCATTATAGGAAGCCTTACGACATGGCCTAGCCACTGTAATCTTCTGGCCTTAATCATCTGTGTGATCATGGGCTTGTCGTATGTTGTCTGCAGTTCCTGGTTTGTTGTTCTTCTCCATATTGGTTCTCCATTGACCATGATCATCATAGTCTTCCACAGGTCTGAAGATTTTCCTTAGTATTATGTTTTCAAATCTCTGTAATTGTAGTTCCTCCTGCTTTGTCATTGGCCATGCTTCACATCCATACAGAACCATAGGTCTAATCAGTGACTCATATACAGTTAGCTTCGTCCTTTTACTAAGGAGTCTGCTTTTTAGTATGTTTGTGAGCCTGAAGTAGATTTTGTTTCCCTTTAGCAAACAAGTCCCTATCTCCTTCTTGATGTCATTGTTTCTGTTTATGTTAGACCCTAAGTACTTGAAGAATTCAGTAGTGCTGAATGTCATATTGTCTATAGTTAGATGTTCTTTGTAGGATTCTCCCTTTTTAGAAACAACAATGTATTTAGTCTTCTCTTCATTGATGATTATATTTTTAGTTATTATAAAATGGCAAAAGGCTTAATTTTGAGGGTACAGATGAAATTTTATAAAAAAAAAATTGTAAATGTTAATAACAAGTAAAATCTTCATTAAGTCCAACCCTACTTGAGATATATTCCATCATCCTCTTGACCTTTAGCTACCAAAATTTAATAGCATTGATCCCCCTAATATACAAACCTCCCTGCAAAATTTCAGAAATTTTCGACAAAATTCATGGGAATTATTAAGCTTCAAATCGGGTGAACAAAATCATGCCCACTCCACACGTCCATACATACAGAAAAAAACCTCAAAACTTTTTTTGCATTTCTTAACATTTCATGGTCCCAAGTCCAAAAATTTTTAAATGTTACAATAGTTTCCCTCTGATATGTATAACAGAACCAGGATAGTAAAATGCATGTTTTGCCACTTTCTAAATGTGATAAATGTTCAGACACAAGCCAAATTATATACACCTCCAAAAACAGTATGACACAAATATGACACAGGAGGTAGAGCAATGATGATTTGGTCACATGGGATGATGCTCATGCAAGTTCTCTATAAGCTAAACACTCAATTTCAGATATCTATTTTTTGGAAACATTTGAGAAGTGGGTCCTATCATTTGGACAAGGAGCTGTTTGTGTTTAGGGCTGCATGCTCACCAACTTTTGCTCAAATCAGAGATAAAAACATCTGACCTCCTTATTAGCTATTATTTACTGTAGTACAGTCGACCCCCTATAACGCGGTAGATACGTTCCGGTTTTTATGAATCCATTTTCTACGAGTCCAACCAATCACAGCCCGGCACGTATGCAGTTTACGGACTACGGCTGTTTGAAAGGTTTCTTCCATAAAATTAGTCGATTCTAGACTAATTTGACTCAACATTTCCAAAACACGTATAATTTTTTGGGAAAAATCCATATAAACTATGCTATAAACAAAAAATTGTAAGATTACTTACTGAGTGTGCACCGTTCGACGTCGCTATTGCTTAAGCTTGTTTTCATCGTGGAGTTTGTCATCGAATGGTGCTCACGTGCTTCCTGATAAATTATTTTTTTTGAAAAAATTGGTTGAACTTTGGAGACATCATTAATATAAATACAATTTTTATTGACATTAAATAATAAATGGTTTTTAGTAGGTCCGCTGCTCGTTTAAACTCAACAGTTTGTACAATATCTGCTATTGGTCTAGATTCAACCAATCCTGTCGCAACATGAGTCAGCGATGATGTTTTACCGAATTATAGGAGTTTTTTTTAGCATGTTTGTACAAATACTGTTGCAATTTTTTTGCCACGATATAGGAATCCGAACTATAGGAACCCGTGTTATAGAGGGGTCAACTGTACTTTATTAATAAAATGCAATAATAAAACATTACTTCTACTGAATTCAAATTTNCTATTCTATACAAGTAAATTTTTTCTACTTATAAAATGGGATTCTCTACAAAGTAATCTATTATTTCTATTATTAAATTTCACATTATCAAACTTGAAAAAATGTAGAGCTTAAAAAGAAACTTATAGTTTAAATAAATTAATTCTGATAAAAACCAGAAATTCTTGAAATCAGTTAACTGGTTTTTAAATATCAGATGTCAAATCAGTTTCAAAATAGTTTATATTTCTGATAACTGATTTCAAGAATTTTGGTTTTTATCAGAAATATAAACTATTTTGAAACTGATTTGACATCTGATATTTATAAACCAGTTAACTGATTTCAAGAATTTCTGGTTTTTATCAGAATTAATTTATTTAAACTATAAGTTTCTTTTTAAGCTCTACATTTTTTCAAGTTTGATAATGTGAAATTTAATAATAGAAATAATAGATTACTTTGTAGAGAATCCCATTTTATAAGTAGAAAAAATTTACTTGTATAGAATAGTTTATATAACCAATTTATAAAAAATCCATTAATGATATTTTTGCAATACTTTTTACCTTAATATATCATTTAATTCAATATTCAATTTATAATTTATGTAACCATTAAATCATATTGAGACATTTCATGAAAAATTTGAAAACTCAACCTTAATTTCTTCAAATTATAAAAATATGAATCTGAAATTATTTCAATAAACTTCCAAATATTTAAATTAAATATAAAATAAATCAGTAAAAACTTATTGAAAAAATTATAGTTTTGTCAGTCAAGTATTAATCAAGCATGAAAATGTAATATTTTTTATGTAATATAAAATTTTTATGTAAAAACTTAATTATGATTTTACAAGAAAATTATGCCTTTTTTCCTAAATAAACTAGTTTAGACAGAAATATTACCTATTTTTGAACTGAATGCAAATTTTAATATATTTGATATTTAATTTCGTTGTCAATATGAAATTAACTTTAACCTACACCAGGGATTCCCAAACTTTTTCAAGCCATCACCCCTTGGTTTTCCATAAAGTTATACTCAACACCTCCAACAATACAGTAATACCCCGAACTTATGCGATAGGTGGGACTGAGCGATAACCGCGTAAGTTAAATTCACGTAAGTCGGGGTATAATTTTGCAATTTGTGTAAAATCCAAGTCGGATGTAAGCAAGCTAATAAATGTTCTCGTTAATCTTATCTCATCTTTTGATTCATTCACGGTTACAAGAAATCACCACATAAAGTCTCTCAAGTCTTTGTAGATATAACAAACAGAGAAATAAATAACACAAAATAACTTGTAGCTATGTGTCGATTCCGCGCGACACGTCCGAACATGTAAGCTGAACAATAGTGTGGGGGGGGAATGAGTAATCAATAGTTGCATGGCGCCCAAACAAAAGACGAATCGATGAGATTTGAAAATTGCGTAACTCCGGGTTCGCGTAAGTCAGGGTAGCGTAAGTCGAGGTATTACTGTACTCCAAATTCCTAACCCATTTTCCCTTGTTGAGAAAGACTTGGAAATATTCATATAAAGCTTTTCTATGAAATTCACACTTTATGTCTTTACTGTATATTGTTCTCACATTTGGAAACCATTAAACTCATTTTAAAAGAGGAAAAGGGAAGATTGTCAGTGACCCCAACACCTTTGTCTATGATTGCCATTCAGAACCTGTCTCCAGCATCACCTGTTGCCCACTTACTTCTTTTTGTTCCCTAGATTTATTCAAGTAGTTCCCAAAGTGGGTGTTACCACCCCACTTTGTGAACCACAGCCCAACACTAAAATTGAGTGAAATATCTTATCATAAAAAATTAATGATTATTATTTCATTTTGCTTATGAAAATACAAAATTGCAGAATAAATAATATTAATATATATTATAAAAAAATAAAACATAATGTTAATTGTAACAAAATTTAAAACAGATTACATATTAATAAATATATTTATTGTAATAATTTGTCCAAATCACTATAAATAGCAATTATTGATGCAAAAATGATATTGCTTTTAACGAGTCTAATAGAATATAAGAAACTAACAAAGTAATTAAAAATTAAGGCCTTGATAATTCCTATTTTTAAATTAATATATAGTTGATTCCGCTTAATTGGGACAACGTTAGGATTAATCTATTTTGGCCTAATTAAGTGGCTGCCCCAATTAAACAAACTGATAATAAATTCTAAAATAAAATATGTAATATGTAGGTAAAAAATAATAATTAGGTACCTATTTCCATGCTTTATTAAACCAAAATACAGAAAATATTTGTACTATAAATTTGCCAGACTCATGACAATAGATAACTGATTCACATCATGCTAGTGTTGCCAAATACAGTATTAGTAGTGACGTACACNTTGTGGGGGGGGAATGAGTAATCAATAGTTGCATGGCGCCCAAACAAAAGACGAATCGATGAGATTTGAAAATTGCGTAACTCCGGGTTCGCGTAAGTCAGGGTAGCGTAAGTCGAGGTATTACTGTACTCCAAATTCCTAACCCATTTTCCCTTGTTGAGAAAGACTTGGAAATATTCATATAAAGCTTTTCTATGAAATTCACACTTTATGTCTTTACTGTATATTGTTCTCACATTTGGAAACCATTAAACTCATTTTAAAAGAGGAAAAGGGAAGATTGTCAGTGACCCCAACACCTTTGTCTATGATTGCCATTCAGAACCTGTCTCCAGCATCACCTGTTGCCCACTTACTTCTTTTTGTTCCCTAGATTTATTCAAGTAGTTCCCAAAGTGGGTGTTACCACCCCACTTTGTGAACCACAGCCCAACACTAAAATTGAGTGAAATATCTTATCATAAAAAATTAATGATTATTATTTCATTTTGCTTATGAAAATACAAAATTGCATAATAAATAATATTAATATATATTATAAAAAAATAAAACATAATGTTAATTGTAACAAAATTTAAAACAGATTACATATTAATAAATATATTTATTGTAATAATTTGTCCAAATCACTATAAATAGCAATTATTGATGCAAAAATGATATTGCTTTTAACGAGTCTAATAAAATATAAGAAACTAACAAAGTAATTAAAAATTAAGGCCTTGATAATTCCTATTTTTAAATTAATATATAGTTGATTCCGCTTAATTGGGACAACGTTAGGATTAATCTATTTTGGCCTAATTAAGTGGCTGCCCCAATTAAACAAACTGATAATAAATTCTAAAATAAAATATGTAATATGTAGGTAAAAAATAATAATTAGGTACCTATTTCCATGCTTTATTAAACCAAAATACAGAAAATATTTGTACTATAAATTTGCCAGACTCATGACAATAGATAACTGATTCACATCATGCTAGTGTTGCCAAATACAGTATTAGTAGTGATGTACACAAAGGTTGGCTGTTCGATTTGTTCCTGATCCTTTCTTCCCTTTTAGTTAGAACACGTTCTCACTAGAAGGGGAGAAAGCAAAGGGTTCATCCAAAAGTCACCTTATGGTCTTCCTTTGAGCACAGTTTCTTTTATTTGGAGATGGGGCACTTCAGCAGGAGCATCCATAAATCCGCCAGCTCTGGATGCTGATCTCAACAATCAGATGGCTGCTGTTTCAATCTAGATGTAATTATGCACACAATACCTTCCAAGGAAACTCTAGCTATCTTCCAACTCAGGGATCGTCCAGTCCAATCCGGAGCAGGGTCAATAGCTTGCATTCAGGTCCATCTCAGACAGGATCCCAATGTGATACATCCCACTATGGTGACCACTTCTGGAAAAACTGAACTGCCTGAGCGAAAGACAAAATTGCTTTATCTTTGCCAATCGTTAGGCTTACACAACATTAGTGTACATTGTGTCTACATATTTTTGGAAGATTCCTAAAATATATCAAAACTTGCTAAATTCCTTTTCTGCTACTGTCCCAATTAAGCTATTACCATATTTACTTGCATATAAGATGAGGTTTTTTATTCATTTTTCACTGCTTCAAAAATCTAGGTCATCCTATATGTGCTAACAAAGGATTCTTTGCAGTTTTGCAATCATTTCTGTGAACCGTGTATACTTCATGTTGTCATTATAGGTCTACAGTCTATTTATCNTTACATACAAATAAAAACCCAGCGAAGCGGGTCCTTGCAGCTAGTATATTCAATAAAAATCTTTGTTTTAACAAATGTACAATGTCACGGCTCGGTAAATATGTCAACACTGAAATGAAAATCAGTCTAATATAGGGAAAATCAGGGAATTACATTGCAAAACAGCAAATTGTGCAGCTGCATTGTGAATCGGCATAAATTGAGCCAGCATAAACCAAGGGCTACCTGTATTTTGTACTCCAACACATTTACCTTTGTTAAAATATTTTATTTTAATACTAACATTACTGTATTACATATTTTAACATCATGATTATCATTTGATGCTTAGACAACTAACTCAGTAATGATCAATATTTTTTTTGATATTATATTTAATAAAATAATGTAATGATATAAATAACATCAACTCACAGCCCGAGTAATATATAATCAATTGCCAAACGATCGCCTAAATATCGGGCTATAACACGGCTAATTAAATGATTGGATTAAAGTAAATTTGACATTAGAGGTAGGCATTAGGCGCCATCTCTTAAGTAAATTAATAATTAAAATTAAATAAATAAATAAATAAATAAAGTTAGAACATTCTGGAATAAAAGAACAGGCCCAGGACGGGGCTTGAACTTAATATACTTCTGGAAGCGAAGACTTGCTCGGGGTCCGGGTGGCGTAACTGGCAAGCGCACCGCACGGCAAGCGGAGGTTGCGGGTTCAAGCCCCGTCCCGGGCCTGTTCTTTTATTCCAGAATGTTCTAAATTTATTTATTTATTTATTTAATTTTAATTATTAATTTACTTAAGAGATGGCGCCTAACGCCTACCTCTAATGTCAAATTTACTTTAATCCAATCATTTAATTAGCCGTGTTATAGCCCGATATTTAGGCAATCGTTTGGCAATTGATTATAATGTAATGATTTATATAAATAATTTATATACCTTTGAACTTCTTCTTCCAAACTGCATGAAGTTGAAGATGCTTTATTATAATCTAAAATTTTAAATTATTACTACTATTAATGTTTTTCTTTATTAGCTATTTAAATATCAATTTATATTTTACTAAATAATAGGTACTTAAGAAGTTTCTAATGAATTAAAATTATACCATATTACTTGAATAATCTGCATAACTTTTCCAAACAATCACAACAAATTCATCATGCAGTACAGTGGATGATTGGTTAATGAACATAATCCGTTCCAAGACTTTGTTTGCTATCCAAATTGTTTGTTAACCGATTATCGATTTACCATAGGTTTTTATGGGAATTTCATTAATTTGTTTTGGAGACCCCAAAAATAAAAAATATATACTTTCTTACTACATTTATTTATATGTAATAATAAAATTACATATATACACAGTCTTGTCTTTTTATTAATGTTTTTTCCATTTGTGGGGTTAAAGAATCTGTTTAATGTTGATTGCTTTTCTCTCTTCTTTAAGATTTTTCAGAAGTAATTAACAGCATTGTAATTGTAGAGATCCCTAAGTGTATTAATCTCAACCTGGTTTGGATGCCATTCTAAGACCATTGTTCTGACATCCACCCGCTTCTTCAAAAGATGTTTAATAGCAGATGTTGGTATTAATCCTCTTTTTCAGAAGAAAACATATCTCACCAAGTTTCTTGGTGTCTTCATTCAAGAGTTTGTGGTGTTCTTCTGTCATCAGATTAGTTTCAGATTCCATTATGAGCTCTTCAATGTTCTTTATTTCTCAGATGTGATTTTTATTACTCCTTTAACTAATTGAGTTTTCTCTATTATACTGTATCCTTCTTAGATAAGATTGAATTACAGCTTACTGTAGACCTTTTCAGCCCATACTGCCTAGTAACATCAGAAATCTTCTGCCCACTTTCTACCTTTGCTATTATACTCTCACCTTTCGAAAATAAAAACCAACACAAAACTTAATGAGTGCCCGCCCGACAGTCTCACGAATACTATAAAAGAATTGTTTCTGTCAGAAAAATAAAAGGCTGAAATTACAAGGGAGAGTTTCAAAGTTTGGAGGAATACTATCCGATCAGTATATACTAAGGTTGAGCATTGATGTCGACGTCTCCCATGCTCCAAAAAGTTCCGAATTGTTGCTTGAAGACAAGGGAAGACCAACTGGTATTCATTATTTTATGTTGCTTCTTCTTGTGTTTGTTCTGTAAAGTGTTCATTGTGCGAACATAAAAATCTTTAATAATAAACAATGCTTTTAGTCCATGACTATAAATTAGATACAGTTAGATAATTTAATAAATACAATTTGGAGTTTAACAATTTGGAGGGCTTATCACACCAAGGCTGACAGAAAGAAGGACCAGAACTTTTACAAAAAAGTTAGTCTTTAATAATCACATTTCAAATTTAGGTAAGTATGCATCTCGGGTACAAGGACCTCTCATCAGCTTACAAACACATGGTAACAACATAATAATTATAACACTGTATATATTGGTTATTCCTTTGTATTGGCTGGTTATTGGTGTTGTAATTGTTGTTGTTATCATGTGTTTGTAAGTTGATGAGGGGTCCTTGTACCCGAGATGCATACTTACCTAAATTTGAAATGTGATTATTAAAGACTAACTTTTTTGTTAAAGTTCTGGTCCTTCTTTCCATCAGCCTTGGTGTGATAAGCCCTCCAAATTGTTTAAACCCTATTTATTAGGTTATCTAACTCTATATAATAAAAATCTTTTGCAAAAGTGTTTCTTATCCAATTTGTTCATTAAATTAACCGATCACCCACTGTATATTCAAAACAAATTTGAATTCACAACCTGTAAAGTCCAGGGTGCTTCCAGTTACTATACATTTTGCTTACTTTGCTACTAATAAATTTCATTTATCAACTGGATGACTTTGCTTAATATAATGACCATCTATGGTTGATAGTTATGAGCATTATTATTAAATGTTTTTATGTAACTAATTTTGTAAAAATAAGGGCAAATAGAAGTTAAATATACAACTGAAACTGACAGTAAATAAACTTTATTCCTATACTACTTCTTAGTTTAAGTTATTGGTCTATTAGTGATTGTTTACCTCCAATTCAAATTAAACAATGTAAGGAAGTCTGACTTTCATTTAATTAGTAAGTTAATATAATATATATAATATAATAATAATCTTTATTCATAATAAGGGATCCTTGTTACAAAAGAAATTGATTTAAATACAAAAACATAAATAGTAAATAAATACAATTAAATTAGTTAATTAATTATATATATCTATATAAAAGTAATGGATTAATTGAACATATAGTTATTTCATATAATGGATATTCAAATCATTAATGATTTGATTAAAGAAATTAGCAATTTTGTACATATTCATTTTTGATAAATTGCCCAACTTGGATCTATAATCAGATTCATTGTTTGAAGAAAATATGTTTAGAGTTTGAAATTTTTTATGATAGTTTTTCAAAGCAGTACAGTCTCTGAGCAGATGAAGTGCAGAGAAATTGTTGGAATTACACCAATAACATGATATTAATTAGTAAGTTAATTCATTACAAAATACATTACTACAAATTGCAGATAATTTATCAGATACACAAATAATTAATTTTTTCCCTTCATATTTTCATCTTTTAATACTACATGAACTTGTAAACTGAATGCTGCCATATTGAATGCTACAAAATAGCAAGATGATACTGATTGTTATTGTATTATACTCATAAATTCATTAAATATGTAATAAATTAAATTAGTAAAGTTTTCTCCCTTTTATAAACCAATATATTAAAAAATTGTATCACTAATTGCATAAATATGCAGATTATTCCAGTTAATACGTTATATTTTTAAACCGAAAAAGTACTTTTTTCTGCAGGGTGATTCACTCAAGACTGATCCCTATATAAAATAAAAAAAATGAGCATAAAACATAAATGGAACAATTCTTTATTTCATGATAAAGCTGTGAACCAGAGGGGAGGTCAGAAGTTGCCCGCCTCTGTCACTAGTCAGGATGATACGTCAGGCGAGTGGAGGGAGAGTTGCTTGGGGTCGACGATAAGGTGAAGGGTGTGATCGAGTAAAGGAGCCTACCATATTTAAACAATATAACAACTATTTATTAAAGAAGCAAAATGGACAAAAACTACACAAATAGCGTTTCTATACCGCTTATTTTTTCCGAGAGAGAGAGTTTCCGCTTTTCATACCTCTTTGAATGTCCCTTTTGCCGATCTAATCCGTGGAGGCACTTAAATGTTCAAATAAAGTTGTCTTATATCCACAGGAGCACAATTATAAAAAGTTCGTGACTTTGGCGGTAATCTGTTCTTGTCGATTGTAGATCGGAATTCGGCGGGTTCGGAGAATCGGCGCGATGTCGTCGGTCCGGCGTTTGTTAAGAGACTCCACGAGAGGGGGTAAGAACTGTCTTTTATAGGTTTTTGTGGGAAATTTCCACCACGTGATCGGATGTTCGTGAGTTAAAGGTTATAGGTGTTCCAGGGATCTAAAACAAGTGACGAAAGTTGGATGTTAACTGTAAACTTTTCTGCAAGATGAGCTGCAAGTTCTGCAGAGAACAATAGATGTTGATAGTTATGACAGGAATGTTTACACAGTCCCAGCTAAGATTGGTTTTTTCTCCAATTCGTTACATAAACGAAAGTAAAGTAATTAAAATTTTAGTTAATAAAGAGCGTGATTTTCGTTACTAAAATTCCGGATCTCAAAAAGCAGTCAATCAAGATAGGTTTTACATTACGCGTTACTCAAATGCAAGTATGTAATCGAGGTACCGAACAAAGTAAGTGTTCAATCCTGAGTAAATCACCTGGTGTTACTTGTAGACTTTCAATTATTTCTATACTACACAATGCTCTTCAAATAATACAAACAGTTTAATTTAAATGTATGTATGACTTTTGAAAACTGACTAAATATAATTCTATTTAACCATTACAAATTTATAATTATAAATTATAAAAAAAATTTTAATCTTTTCATAATTAACAAAAAAATCTATATATATAAAACTCAAAGGTGACTGACATAGTGATCTATCAACGCACAGCCCAAACCACTGGACGGATCGGGCTGAAATTTGGCATGCAGGTAGATGTTATGACGTAGGCATCCGCTAAGAAAGGATTTTGATCAATTCTACCCCCAAGGGGATAAAATAGGGGATGAAAGTTTGTATGAAACTTTGTCAATTTTAAACCGATCGGGCTGAGACTTTGCATGCATAAAGCTACTATGACGTAGGCATCCCCTAAGAAAGGATTTTGATAAATTCCACCCCTAAGGGGATAAAATAGGGGATGAAAGTTTGTATAAATCTTCTTAGATTTTCGACTGATTGAACTGAAATTAAAGATTGGAGCTACTATGATGAAGACGTCCGCTTAAATAGGATTTTGATAAATTCAACCCCCATGGGGGATGTAAATGTATTAGTTTGAACCTATCAGTACCTAATGGAACGAATAAATTAAGACGAACAAAATAATTTTTAGTTCTAAATGTTGACAATAGATGGCGTTAGTAGTATTTTAAAACGCGCTATCGTTGTGTTTTCACTGAGTTACATATACCCGATGATGAGTGGCCGCCGTATCTAATAGTACATACTATACCTAAATATTTCTAGCGGATTATATTTGACGGGGGTTAATTAGGTATAGTTTTTGCGGGGATTATATTGTACCCTTTGTACATAGTTGTACAAAGAAGTTTTGTAGGCCCTAATTTTTTACACACGCTAAACGAAAGTAAAGCCGCAAAAACTATACCTAATTAATAATAATACTTCTTAACGCGAGCGAAGCCGCGGGCAAAAGCTAGTTAATATAATAAAGCCTTAATTTTTCTGGAATTACAAAAAACTCTAGTTACATGTAACATTTTTTTTCTATTTTATATTATTTTAAATATTTTAAAATTATCAAATGAAATTACAGTTTATTTTTGAGAAGGTATAAAATTTGAATTTAAAGAATTCATTGATAATGCAGTGATTTTAAAAATATTCTTTCAGTTATTCAATAACAAAACATTATATAATATCTGCTACTGTTTTTTTATTCATTAATATTTTTAATATACTTATGTACAAAAATATTAATCTGAAAGAATAAAAATCTAAAAAACTTTATATTCATAAATCAAGAATACTTATTTATTATAACTGAATTTAGATTTGTAGTTACAATAAAAAATATTAACATTTAAAAATAAATTACAAAAACCTGCCTAAACAGAAAAAATTCTTCAGAATGGAGCAATTTCCTATGTTAGGAAAAAAAACTATTCAAAATAGAAAACTACAAAACTGAAAAAATATGCATTAATATGCAATTCTGATTTGCTTAGGTTTTACCATATTGGTTTAAATTATTATAGAGTGCTATAATTTATAACTTGAGTAAATTAACTAAAAAACCTTCAGAATACACAAGAGTATAATATACATAATTAGTTACTATTATGATTGAAAGCCATAAAGTTTAACAAAATCAAAAAATAAACAAATAATATGTTTTACCGAAACTTAAATTGGACAATAAAACATTTTTTATTGTGTTTCAGTTTGGAATTGTTTGAATATTGATTATTTTAATTTTAATAACTTGCAAGACTAAAAAAAGTCAATAATATTTTGGTATACATTTAATATTTTTGTAATAACTGTAATGACTAACTACATATTATATTCCAGTCAAACTTCTACATTATGAACTTCTATACAGTGAATTTATCTGTATAACAAATTTTTGCATTGTACACTGCTCTTTTGGGTAAAAATATGTAAGAAATTACTTCTAAATAACAAAGTTAAATTTCTATATAACAAATTCTTTTTAATTTGTAAGGACTAACAATCATTAAAAGTTAATTATTCCAAACTGAGTTCAAATTTAGGCTTGAATTTAGGCTCAATTTCGGGTATCAATCTGTGAAACTGCCACCCAGGTGTGAAAGATACTGGTTGTTAGCTTTTAAAACCATCATGTAATTTGCCTCGTCACATGGCTACCAGTTGCAAAGAAACGGAAGAGAGATTATCTGCCCACAAGGGTATTTGGACCTAAATGGTCCAAATACCCTTGTGGGCAGATAATTTGTGTACCCGTGGGCAACTAATAACATTAGAAATTAATTTTGTAAACTGTTGGACAAATTTTTGAGGTTAGTGAGATTTTATCTTATATTATTTAATAAGTCATCCAACTGGAATTTGAAGAACTATATTATTAATATAGTGTTTAAGCATTATTAAAAAAATTAATGTGTTGCAGGAAGATCAACTTCCTGCAACACATTAATTTTTTTAAAGGTTCAAAAAAGAAAGACATTGCAGCAAAGTTTGGAATTCCTGCGAGTAGTTTATCAACCATAATAACAAATCACTAATCAATTCTCAGTTAGCTGATGATCAAGACATACAGCAAAATGTGCTAGAACCTGTGTTTATATCAATGTAGATTAAGCAGTTTTAATAATCTTAATAAGTGTGAAGCATATTACAAAGAGAGATCATTTTTTAATTGTTCTGCACAACAAAAAATTAAAGATTTTTTAAATGAAAATGTAAACTACTTGTATTTTAATACATAAATGTAAACTTGCTTAAAAATTAAAATTACATTTATATTACATTATTACTGCATATTACATTTGTATCAATTTAAATTATGTTAAAATAATACAGTAAGACCACACTTAATGCAGGGGGATGTTCCTAGACGACAAAGCACTAAACAAAACAACATTAAACGAGATCATTTTAACAGAGTAAATACGGAAAGGGGGAACATGCAACCAAAAATAAACAGATTTTATTTTAATTTTAAGTTATTTTTATATTAATTTGCATAATAATATATGTTAAATAACAAACATATGCACACAGAAATGTAAAGTTCATTTTTGTGACAAAAATCCTGACTCTTCTGAAATTCTTGTTTTTTGTGATAAAGTTGCATAGTTTCATTTGTTGCTTTCTTTTTCTTTCCTTAAGAAAATGTTGGTAGCAGGAGATCGCATCCAAAATGCCTCGTCTCCTTTCAAAATTTGGATCATTCTGTACAATTTGATCAATAATTTTGGTTGTCATTACCAAACTTTTACTAAGGAAATCTGTAGAGAAATTCATTGGGTTCTTCATTTTCAGAATCACTATTTTCCAGTTCTACATGAATTCCTTGTTCTGCCAATTCTTGAAGGTCATCATCAGTAAGGCTCTCACCAGAAACCTGCATTAACTCCTCAATATCCTGCTTGTCTACATCTCCTAGTCCTGCTACATCGATTAGGTCAACAATTTGGTCAACTTAATGATACAGTGATAGACTCTTCTCATTGAGAATTCTTGAATAACTTCAGCCATAACTTTTTTCCATACTTCGTTCATGCATTTATCAGTTAATTCTTGCCAAGAGAAGTCAATATTGCCTATGGCATCCATGATGTTATATTTTTTCCAAAATTGCACTAAACACAGATTTAAGGAAAGTACAGCTCTATGATGAATTGCCGCCTTTTGCCGATTGGTTCATGTTTGGAAATTCATTATATATGTTAATTCATATTATATATGAATTAACGAAATGCCACAATAATTTGAATCAGTATAAATTTTGAGCTTTTTTTAAGGTTTTGAGCAGACTGTGTTATATCGAATCAGCGTTAAGCGGGGTCTTACTGTACTTTATTTACCAGAAAGTATAATTTCTATATAATGAAATTTCCATATAGCAAAATTTTTTCAGGATTTAGTGACTTCATTATATAGAAGTTTGACTGTATTTTCTAATATTGTTTGTTTAACAAATTTGATAATAAACTGTATCTTTATTTAATACATGTTTTATTTATTCTAAGAGGAGCTGAAATAAAGTTACTGCTGTGTTGCTACCTTTTAAATTGTATACTAAATCATATTTAATGAGTAACAATGATAATACATTTAAATTGAGACTTGAATAAATTGTAACATGTTTTTAAAAATGAAACTTCTATAAATTATAGAACTGACTGATTATTGTTAATGATGCTACAAAAGTATGTTTAGGCTTTATGTTATAGCAGGCAATGTGATAACTCTCCCAGTGCTAGCATCATTGAAAGACATGTTCCTTTTGTTGACATTCAGCACATTTATCAAAGCATCTACATGTTATTCTGACATTCTACCATTATATTTGGAATTTAAGAAAAATTTTTCTTGTGTCTCCCTTAAAAATATTGTATTGAAGTAAATATAAACATCAGCCAAAAATGTTTTATTGAAAAATACATAAACTGTATGGTTAAATCTTGTTAAAAGGGAGATATTTTTCAGATCTATCAAAATGTAATCAAATTATTTCAATTTATTAATCATTAAAATTTTCAATAACTGATAATGTGTGTGTGTATAATTCATATTTTGTAATTCATAAATTATTAAACTATTCCAATTAAATCAACTTTTCAGTATAATAGTTTTTTATCAATTCATCAAGAGAAGTTGAAAAAATGTTTTATCACTTCAGCATGTAATTCACATATTTAATTTTAACTCTACAGTAGTAAATAACAATAATAGTAAAAAATTTCAATTGTAGCATAAAAATAATTTTATATATCAATAGTTTCAAGATCCACATTTAGTATTTACACAAATTACAGTACATATCATATCTCTTCAACATTTGAAACAAATGTTTGAATTTTCAATATAGTTAAAAATTATCATAATTTTTCTGAATCTAAGTAAAACTTCATTTTTTAGATAGTAATTAATATCGGTGGATTTATTGCAAGATTTAAATATCTATTTTGCTATCAGCATACAATTTATACTATTAATAATTTTTCATTGTATGGGAAATGTATTAATACTATCAGAAAACAAAAAATTAATAACAATTCTTCACAAATAATCAAAAATATTTTAAATATTTAACTTTTGTTGTAAGTAAGTGTATATTTAAAATATACAAGGTGTGGCAGAAAAGTAATGAGACTAATTTTTTTTTGTAACAATTTTACTTTATTATTTTATTTTTATACATTAATGTTATCCCCTTCAAAATCCCTTGGGCAACTATATATCGGCGGAGGCATTGTTGCCAGTTTTCGTAGTAGTGCTGGAAGGCTTCAATTAGAATTGCCTGCAACAATGCACTTACGCTCCTTTGGATATTATCGGCAGTACGAAGATGACAGCCTTTCAAATGGATTTTGATCTTGGGGAATGAAAACAAGTCACATGGACTGAGATCAGACAAATAGGGGGCCTGGGGAACCACAGAAATTTCTTTTTCTGTCAAAAACTGGTTGATGGAGATGGCCGTGTGACAGGAGGAGTTGTCATGATGGAGCATCCAAGTGTCCCGTCTGACTCAAAGCACCCTTTTTCTGATCTTTCAAGGAGCCCTCACTCATTCCACACTTTCACAGTTCTCGATGTTGAATGCCTCCCTGAGTGAGGTTCATCTTCTACTGCTTTTAAGCCCTCCAAAAAAATGCTTTGTACCACCAAAAAACTTGTGCTCATGATATGGAATGTTCCTCATACGCTTGTTGCAACTTTTTGTAGGTCAAACTCGCGAGTTCACGAAGCTTAACACAAAATTTGATAGAATACCGTTGCTACAAATTTCACTATTCCATTTTCGGTAACGCAATACGAAAACAATACTTTACTTATCATACTCTCAAGGATCACATAGTTACCGCACGAGGTTGAAACTGTTACTGAGCATCTAGGAGGGACAGACATACAAGCTATGTGAAAGGGAAGTCCGGAGTGTTGCCAGATCACTCTCAGTGATCATACAATCTCATTACTTTTCTGCCACACCTTGTATTTACAAGATTTTAAATCTTGTTAGCATAAAAAATGCAAAATAAAAACTTATTTATTTTCAAAAGTACCTTTCTCTGCTTCTGCTAATGTAGATTCCATCATCTTCACTTTCTTTTTATCAGGAGCTACAACTAATAATTTTTCTTTTTGTTCTTTTAATTGTTGAGATAAAGAAGATTGTTGTTCACTTAGAGCCTGTATTTAAATCAATAATTGCTTCTTAAATACAATAAAAATATTATGTATATCAAAGCATATTATGCATTTTTGTGAATAAAAATATATTCATATTAATCTACATTTTATCATTTTTAATAATATCACAACTATATTTTTTATAATATATCAGATATTAATATAATCTATGATTTAAATATTTCTTCCTACATTATAAAGAATAAACTATATTGACAATATTTTTCAACCAAACATTTTTGAAAAATTTTCTGGTTTAAAAGGAATTAGAAAATGCANTCAAGTCGGGAAAAAAGAGGGGAGGGGAAGGGAGCGGGAAGTACGGACACACAAGTCACAACTATCGACGTAACAGACTGAAGAGGGGCGAAAGCCCGAAACGCGTTTCTGTAAGAAGTAAATGTAGGTGATGGAATTATTTGCCAAGTGTCTATAAATGCACCAAGTCGTGACATAGAATCAGAAGAAACATAGTTAAAAATTATCATAATTTTTCTGAATCTAAGTAAAACTTCATTTTTTAGATAGTAATTAATATCGGTGGATTTATTGCAAGATTTAAATATCTATTTTGCTATCAGCATACAATTTATACTATTAATAATTTTTCATTGTATGGGAAATGTATTAATACTATCAGAAAACAAAAAATTAATAACAATTCTTCACAAATAATCAAAAATATTTTAAATATTTAACTTTTGTTGTAAGTAAGTGTATATTTAAAATATACAAGGTGTGGCAGAAAAGTAATGAGACTAATTTTTTTTTGTAACAATTTTACTTTATTATTTTATTTTTATACATTAATGTTATCCCCTTCAAAATCCCTTGGGCAACTATATATCGGCGGAGGCATTGTTGCCAGTTTTCGTAGTAGTGCTGGAAGGCTTCAATTAGAATTGCCTGCAACAATGCACTTACGCTCCTTTGGATATTATCGGCAGTACGAAGATGACAGCCTTTCAAATGGATTTTGATCTTGGGGAATGAAAACAAGTCACATGGACTGAGATCAGACAAATAGGGGGCCTGGGGAACCACAGAAATTTCTTTTTCTGTCAAAAACTGGTTGATGGAGATGGCCGTGTGACAGGAGGAGTTGTCATGATGGAGCATCCAAGTGTCCCGTCTGACTCAAAGCACCCTTTTTCTGATCTTTCAAGGAGCCCTCACTCATTCCACACTTTCACAGTTCTCGATGTTGAATGCCTCCCTGAGTGAGGTTCATCTTCTACTGCTTTTAGGCCCTCCAAAAAAATGCTTTGTACCACCAAAAAACTTGTGCTCATGATATGGAATGTTCCTCATACGCTTGTTGCAACTTTTTGTAGGTCAAACTCGCGAGTTCACGAAGCTTAACACAAAATTTGATAGAATACCGTTGCTACAAATTTCACTATTCCATTTTCGGTAACGCAATACGAAAACAATACTTTACTTATCATACTCTCAAGGATCACATAGTTACCGCACGAGGTTGAAACTGTTACTGAGCATCTAGGAGGGACAGACATACAAGCTATGTGAAAGGGAAGTCCGGAGTGTTGCCAGATCACTCTCAGTGATCATACAATCTCATTACTTTTCTGCCACACCTTGTATTTACAAGATTTTAAATCTTGTTAGCATAAAAAATGCAAAATAAAAACTTATTTATTTTCAAAAGTACCTTTCTCTGCTTCTGCTAATGTAGATTCCATCATCTTCACTTTCTTTTTATCAGGAGCTACAACTAATAATTTTTCTTTTTGTTCTTTTAATTGTTGAGATAAAGAAGATTGTTGTTCACTTAGAGCCTGTATTTAAATCAATAATTGCTTCTTAAATACAATAAAAATATTATGTATATCAAAGCATATTATGCATTTTTGTGAATAAAAATATATTCATATTAATCTACATTTTATCATTTTTAATAATATCACAACTATATTTTTTATAATATATCAGATATTAATATAATCTATGATTTAAATATTTCTTCCTACATTATAAAGAATAAACTATATTGACAATATTTTTCAACCAAACATTTTTGAAAAATTTTCTGGTTTAAAAGGAATTAGAAAATGCAAACTCAGGACAGCATAAACTTCAAGTCTGAACACCTCAATATTTATGCAAGATGGTGTACCCTCTGTATATCAGACAGGCTACTGTCATGCTGCTGAATGATACCATTCAATCACATCCATTCATCTTCACATTGAGATATTTCCTTGTATTTTGAAAGTATGCTTTCACATAACATTATTGGATGCATCTGTAGAAGAGAGATGTAGATCCCTACCACTTGTGGCATGGAACTTTTCACATAAATCACTTTCAGTGACCAAACAAAGCTACCAGTTGGCTATTATAATTTGGCTTGTGCAGAGCATGTGTTATGATATTTTTTCATTCATACCCTGACAGACCAGATTGGATTCATGGGCAAATTTTGTTAAATTGACAATGACAATAATACAAATAAATTTATTATCAAAAAATTTGAACAACCAGCTAGCTATATTGCATAGTACTGTTCAATCATCAAACATTCAGACATTATTGAATACAATATATTGATTATCCGAAAGTCGATCAACTGAAATGTCAATTAACCAAAGGCTTTTCAGTTGGCAAATTTAAATTTCCATTAGTTAGTGCTGTGGCACTGCAATCTTTGACTATGTCTTGAGATACTCCAATACAGTGGAATCCCGGTTAACGAACGTCCTGGTTAACGACCAAATCGGTTAACTAACTTTTATTTTGCAAAAATTTTGTCTCATAACGAACAAAATTTGGATAACGAACGTAACGGTATATTGTGTCAAATTTTAGTTGGTGTTACGCATGCGCGAGTTAAGCATTGCTTTTCCGAGTGTTTGTCCTATATTTCTTTTTTTCAGTTTTGTGATTTATATATTTAATCAATATGGTATCAAAGAAAGAAAAAAGTCATAGTGACAATAGAAAACGACAATGCGNCCACTTTTTATTTTAACACACATTATACTATCCTCAGGTGCATGTATATTGATCTGATAGCACTATTTGCTCATTCCTCCTCCCGTGTTTAAATATGTGTATATATATCTTATGTGTAATACCAGCTTAATGGTCACTATCTCAGGTAATTGTATTTTATCATATAAATCACTGTACGCGTATACTAATTTTTTAAATGAATTCTGTAAATTTTGATACCTGTAACCAATTTGATAATTATGTAATAATAATAGGACTGAAGAGGGGCATTAAGCCTGAAATGCATATCTGTCCAAGTCAATAAAGCAACCTTTTTCCTCTTAAAGTGTTCCTGTATGATACGTTCTCAACAGCAACATTGTGCTAACCAAACACATATAATAGAGAACAACAAGCAACCTTGATTCAAAATTACTGTATATTTCAAATAAAATGACAAAAATTTCGGAGACTAGAACGAATTAATTGCATTTGCATTAATTTCTATGGGAAAAATTGCTTCGGTTAACGAACAATTCAGTTAATGAACGGAGTCGCAGAACGGATTAAGTTCGTTAACCGGGGTTCCACTGTATTATTTTTGTTGGTGTGCATGTTTTAGCTGGCAGCACTGACGTGACCATGAGAGGGTACTTAAGGATGTGCCAGCATTTGAACAAATTTCAACATGGGATAGGTTAATGTATTTTTTCATACATAATCGGTTATCCGAACAACCTCAGTCCCCAACTAATTTGGATAATTGATGCTCTACTGTATATCCACATACTGTATGTCATCTATCAGAACAACGACATCATAGAAGAGCAAGGAGAAGAGTTTCTTCATCAGAGTCCATATAAAGTGCAATAGTATAGCACTGCATTAGAAAAATGGCACATCCTTGCAGCAAACTCTTTCACTTACAAGGAGAGGGTCAAATGTTCAGGTCTTTGATTCTAATGAAACTTGGTGAGCATGTAGTCCTAAACACAAACTGCTTCTTGTCCAAATAATAAAATCCACTTCTCAAGTGTTTCCAAAAACTGAGTGTTTAGCTTATGTCATTGAAAGTTTCACGTTTCCTCAAAATGGCAATAGCCAAATGGATAAGACACTAGGCACTGGAACAACATGATATAGGTTCAAATCTTTGCAATTTTAGTGTTTTTTTTTTTTCAATGTAACATATATCCACAATCATCATCTAACACATAACATAATTATCTTATTCTATCAAGAGCATTATTATTGCTTTTAATATTGCATCCGCATGTTTAAAGCTTTGTACTTATATAACCAAAATAATATTAATAGTAATTATAATTATAATACCTGAATTTCAACTGATAATTTTTGAGATAAATGTGTCAAACTGTTATATTCTTTTTTCATCTGATCAATAAATTCCTCTGTAGTATCTTTTTTTTCTTTTAACTTGGCAAGTGTATCCATAAGTTGATCAATATGTTTTGACATAACTTCAATCTCTTCCGGATTTATGTCACTAACAATAGCTTTACCCATTCTGCCTTTCGATGCTTTCCCACCACCACTCATAGTACCTGAAAATTTATATAATTATTGATATTATATAAATAATGCAATGACACTTTTAAACAAAAGTATAGTTAAAAATAACCTGCTAAGTCAATGAGTTCTCCTTTAAGAGTAACCACACGAAATCTCGTTCTCCCTTGAAGACCAATACGGGTTGCTTGTTCCAAATCCTTTGCTACAAGAGTATCTCTCAATGCAAAATAAAATGCAGGTAACACCTTTTCATTCCTCACTCTTATTAAATCAAAAAGTCGAGGAACATTTTCAGGTCTATAATATAAATATTAAACATAACATGAAAATTTATTCTAATATATTAAATTTTAAAAACAAAAAGTTATCAACAGTCTTATTTAAAAACTTACGTTTGGATTCTCTGTTTTGTATAGGGAATCCATCTATCCATCTATAATAAAATATATTTAAATATTACAAATGTCAATGAAATTATAAAAATTCTTCTGCCACATGATAAAAATTTTTCTAACAGATATTTATAGCAATTATAATTATATTTTCAATAACTAATGCTTCTGGTATATTTGCTAATACCAAGAAAAAAATCTAGATAAGTAAAGATCATAATGAAGAGAAAATACAGTGACATATATACAAAGTTATTTAACAGTAAAGTATCTAATAGCAGAAGGACATGGTTTAGAAAATTTTAGAGACTACAGGATATTTGAAACAGTAAACAAAAAAATTCTGATTATATAATTTTTATGCATCATCAAAAATGAGTACAAATTTGAACTTTTGAAGACTTCAAATTATTATGTCTCATATTCCTGAAACATTACCAGTTGATTATGATACATAAAAATTAGCATTTTTATATAGTAATACAATTTTCAATTAAGGCCAAATGATCTGCCTGATTACATTGGGATAAATAATTTAGCTCAATGAAATCTGACAGATTGTTTGGCCATAATCAAGAACTTTCCTCAAAGTTTCTATAACTATCAACAGTGACAGTTCTAATACTTAATTTTGAGATATATGAATCTACAAGTATTAACTTATACAAAGCAACAGCTGGTCAAACCGTGTGTGAGAAATGCAGCACATTCTGGTCGTCCTCATATTGAATGTATTAACATTCAGTTGATTGAATTAACAATGGACATAATATGTCAATGTCAACAGTCAGTGAGAAAGTTAGCTGCAGAGGCAGGAAAAAGTCAAACCATAGTGTTACATGTGTTAAAAGACATACTTGGGTACTGCAAAATTCAGCATAATGGGTGCCTCATTGCATCAGTGTGGTGAGAAAATGGCACTGATATGTGCTTCAAACAAACATTTGGAAGATTACAGCCAAGAAGATTGTACATTCTTTGAGAGGATAACTGCATTGGATCAAACATGTGAAAGGGTGTACAAACCAGAATTGAAACAACAATTCAATGAATGGCGGCACCTAACTTCTCCTCAGCCAAACTTGAGCCAAAAATCTGGAAACATGAAAGTGATGCTGATAGTGGCATATGATGTCCAAAGTATCATACAGTTCCTCACAGCAAAGCTGTTAATACTGCATATTACCAACATTTCCCTTATCATTATCATCTTTCTGTTCTGTGAAGGAAATGGCAGCATTTCAGAACATATCCACCCACTGTTTTGCATGACAATGTTCAACATCCTCTGCTGCTCCTGTAAGATATTTGTTACCATGGTGCCAATGGGAGGTTCTCAAACATCTGTAAAACATGAGTCATATATATATATAAACATCAACTCACAGCCCGAGTAGATAATAACAACACCAAACGATCGCCTAATTATCGGGCTATAATATGGCTATTTTAAATGATTGGAACTAAGTAATTTGACAAGATGGCGCCTAACGCCTACCTCTAATTGTCAAATTACTTAGTTCCAATCATTTAAAATAGCCATATTATAGCCCGATAATTAGGCGATCGTTTGGTGTTGTTAAAACATGAGTCCCTGTAACTCTGATTTCCAAACAGCTGAAAGACCCACTTAGAAGAATACATTTTCATATCCCATTCAAGACAAGATCATCCAAGAAGTAGGGACTCACATGCAGACATCAACAAACACAGCTCTGTTACTGTTCCTTCCAACACCTTCCAAATATTTGGAAGAAGGCTGTAAATATGCCAAGAGGTTATACTGAAAAAATGTAAAGGAATGTAGAGCCTACAATATATATTTTGTCACATAAAGGCATATTGTCACCACTCTATAACCCTCATATATAAAAAAATGGAAAATTAAAATATGAGTCAAAATTACCAAGATGAGATTCATTCATTTGTCAAAATGTCACCAGTCAGTTTTACAGAGAACTGGCAAACTTGGGTCACATATGGAGATTTTTGCTTTTCCAGAAGTAAATGCATGACTATTCCAGAAAAGAGACACATCAACTTTTTTTTCCTTTAAAACTAGGTTTAATTTATTCTGGTTAAATCTAATTGATACACATCACAGGATTGGATTCATTAATTGACATTAATTATCAAGAGGACTAGATGATCCGAGTTCTAAAGTAGAAATGCTGTTTTTCAATCAAAGATATCTCTTTGGGTATATAGATAACTTATCCCCCTTTTTTTTTATCCCAAATTACATTTTACAACAGAAATGAAAAGGACTGGCAAAGACTACTAGGGAAAGACCAATACAGTCTGTTACAAAAGTATAGAAACACTATAAACTTTGTGTTTTTTTAAAATTTATTTTGAAATAATTACTGGAAATATTATTAATTATTTTTTTATCATTATTTTAATTATTTTATCAGGTTTTTTACATTTCATAAAGCAGCATAAATTTTTTTTTCACAAATATTCATTTTTTGATGTGTCACAAAAGTATAGGTACACCACTTAAAGTCTCTTAAAAATTAATTTATCATAATAATTAAAAATATCACCACTACAATAAATGTCATCATTTTTAAATGCCCTGGTGGCTTTTTTGAATGTTTTATTTAATGTTATATAAACATTTTCAACAATGCCTCATGGAACTGTACTTCAGGAGCAAGAAATATGTAAAATTTATTATTTGAGTGGTTCAGGTAAGTCTGTGAGGCAAATTGTTGCAGCTGTAAATAGATGTATGAATGCTATCCTAAATGTTTTGTAACAAGGTGAAAATTACAGGAAAAAAAGGAAGTCAGGAAGGCCTAAATATTTAACATCCAAAAAATGAGAGACAAGTTTTGAAGCTTATAACTAATAAAAACATGTACATGTAAACAAGACAAGCTGCTGCTGAATTACTAGTAGATGTATCTCATGTGACTGTTTGGAGAACTTTAAAAAACAATGACAACGTAAATTATTTAAAAATGACGTTGAAACTGGGTTAAAGACAAGACGGGATGGACTGAAGAATGGCAAAAAATAATGTTTAGTGATGAGAATTTTAATTTAGATTGCCCTGATGGGTTTTCATCTTACTGGCATGATTTAAGAAAAGAAAGCAGAGTCAAAATAAGCTGACAACAAGGAGGTGTATCTATAATGATTTGGGGTGGTTTTGGAAGAGGAGGTAAAACTGATTTAGTATTTGCTGACAAAAATATGAACTCAGAAAAGTATCAAGAATTATTGTATAATATATAATAAATAATTGATTACATTTGGTGCATTAATTGGAGCTCATAAATGGAAGTTTCAACAAGATAATACTCTCATTCATGCTTCAATATCAACTAAAAATTGGTTTAAAAAAAAATATATTGATGTAATTGACTGGCCTTCACATAGACCAGATTTAAATCCCATTGAAAATTTATAGGGGATTTTGCAGCCATTGTTTATCAAAATAGAAAATAATATGAATCTGTAAATCAATTGAAAATTGCAATAATGGATGTGTGGGATGAAATTAAGGATAAACAATTTAAAAAATTAATAAACTTCATGCCTAACAGAATTTTTCAAATAACTAGACAAAGGGGGTGAAACCAAATATTAAAAGTGTTTAAAATGTATTTAAAAATTATTTTTATATAATTTTAGAAAGTGTACAGTACCTATACTTTTGTAATACATCAAAACATTAATATTTGTAAAAAAAAATTCATGTTACTTTACAAAATGTGTAAAAAAACCTGATAAAATAATCAAAATAATGATACAAATAATTAATAATATTTCCAGCAATCATTTCAAAATAAATTTTGAAAAAACACAAAATTTTGTGTTTTTTCAAAATTGATGGTGTTCTTATACTTATATAACAGACTTTAAGAACTAGTGATAATGGACAGACTCACAAAGTCTGAGCTTGGTTATTCAAACCTCTCAATTTTCTTCAAGATCCTCTCCAAACACTTCCTTCAAATGCTCATTGATAAACAGTCAATTCATTCTTATCCCTTATCCAATTGGATCCCCAAACAGTCACCAAAAAGTATACAGGGTTATACAAGACTAACCCTTCTGTCCAGCAAAGTTTTCCCATGTCTCTCTAAAATTACATTTATTGCCTCAATTGTAACCAGGAAAGCCTGATTACTGTTATTCGATAAAACATCCCATAGTTCTGATTTATTATACATCTATATGACTGTGAAGTTTACATTCAACCTCAAATGCAATATAATTTCCTTTCTTGTCTAACTAACTATAGTCATGTTTGTTTCTCCAATATTTGGTATGTCCATAAAAATCATGTACACCAAAAAACAGTACACTGATAAATTGGAACTTTATAATTAAATAACACACCTAAATGCAATTTCCAGCACATAATAAACACAAATTTACTGCTTGGCTGAAAACGTTTGAGCAGTAAATCTGTGTTTATTATGTGCTGGAAATCGCATTTAAATGTTGGCATGTACACACACCTAAATGCAATTCATTTACATACCCAGTTCTCTGACAAATGCAAATTTCTGTGTTGTGGCAGGACTGAGTACATTACTTTTATAAAAATAGTAAAGATATTTTATTTATTTCTATATATCTTACTTTGTCTTACTTAGTATCAATTCATTCAAACAGAAAGTTTGTCAATTATATGATCATCCTTTTTTTATTAAAAAAAAAACTTATCAGATGTTCATGTACATTAAAATAAATAAGTAAAAACCAACAAAGCAGAAAATAAATGAAGATTTTATGTTGCAAACAGACCAAGTAAAGATTTATAAACATTATCATATAAGATTTGGTAAATATACAGGGTCTGTACATAATTCCTTATGTGGTTCTTCCACATTCTGACTTTTTCTGACCAGTTATGACATCATTCCCTGACCTATTAAGGTCTTTGCAATTCCCCTTTCCAATATGCAATATTTGGTCAAGTCTTAAAAACCCATTTTGCACACAATTATAAAATTTTTATTAAAAAAAACTTTATTTACTTAAAAAAAAATCACATAAAATTGATTATGTAATTAGCTACATCATTTCTACAACATATAAAAAATTTCATAATTTTATTTAAATAAGAAAAAGACTCATGTTGCATCATAAAATCAAATTTTCTTAAAGCAAGGTGGTGGGAAATAATTTAAACAGAATAAATCACACATTCTGCCAAAGGAAGAAATCACTTATCACATGCTATTTTTGGTCTAGCAAAGACCCATTCAAGGTCATTACATTTCTTCCCATCCCTCCCTGAAACTTATAATGGAAACAATGGAGTTTTGGTGGAAAAGTGAGTCATTGTTGATGGTTTATTTTATTTTATTTTATTTTTTGAAAACCAGACTTTAACCCTACTAACCCTCTAACAACTGCCCCTCCCCTGCACACCCCTACTCCCAACCATTTTAAATATGGACATAAACCTTCTGTCCAATAAAATTTAAATCATCATTTATAGTTTACAAGATATAACTGCAATAAATCTTGCCTTTTTTTTTTTTGTTGATCCAGTTTTCGTAGATCCCCATAACAAACTTAATTTAAAGACATATTCAGATCAAAAAAGAGCAAGAGCAACAGAAGAATTCTGTGGTATTTGTGGATTCTGCAATTTTCCCTGACATTTTCTGCTAAAAAACTTATTCTCTGATTTTCCAGGTCTGTGTAAACCCTGAATATAGTGTGAGAATCTGGATGTCATATAAGGATTTTGAAGAATAAAAAGTCGAATAGACTTTTCCCCTTTCCGTTATTTCCGATTATTTCTCCCATTTTCACCCCGTTGCCCGAGGAATAGTCCCCGGACAAAGTTAGAAACAACGCAATTAACTGACCTTGAAGGACGAAGTCGTCTAGGTCAACCGCGGAAGCTCCCCGGAGAACCGCAGGGTGCGGATATAGTATAGAAGATTTCCTAAAAAGGTCATCTGTACGATGAGAAACATTACCTAAAATGGTAAGTCATCTCCCTAGGTGATGACGAATTTAACATTAATTGGTCAAGCGATGTCTGCATTGTCGTCACCCACGACGGGGGAGACTGTCATAAATCTGGAGAACTGTCAAAAGAGTAGCAGATTTTCCCACGCTAAAGAGTATATAAAGGGGTCGGATTTTCTACTCGGCGCTGAGCCAGGGTGCTTAAGCCGAAGAAACCCCTCTGCAAACCTCAAGAGCGATCGTCGGGGAAGAAACATCGACGCAAGATCTGCCAGCACTCTCAGGATCTACGAAGCTCATAATCGCCGCTCCATGCAAAGGTAAAAACTTTGAATATTTTTCTATTCTCTCCATATACGACGGAATTACTCCTCGAAGAGGTTAACAGAAGAAACCTCCGAGCGAACTTCACCAGGAAGAACTTTCTACAGATTAGGAGCGACGGAGCATACACCGTAGAAGGACATCGCTCCACATAACCTTCAAAGGAACCTCAGAAAACAAGGCGACGATCACAGAGTGTTTTATTAACGCCCTATAATTGGAGAACGTTGCCTTCGAGGTAAACCCTTGCCATTATTATTTATCTCTCTCTAACGTGAGCTCTCTCTCGGATTTTAGCGTTAGGTTAGAATAGATTTTAGAATACCTATTTATATCTTGATACGCGTATGTTGTATTTAATATCTTTGTGTAAATTTTCTTAGTTGTTTATTAAATGTGTTCGTTAATTTAAACCCGTGTAATCAATTGGACACCTGATCATTACGACTTCCGACTCCTCCCCACTCATATTTTTAGCCCTCCTATGCCATCCGACAACCGAGAGCGGGTCTTCCCGACCCGTGCAGATTAAGCGGTCATTAGGGTTCGACCCAGTGACCCCCTGCTACTCACAATAGTAATATAAATATATAAATAGTAAAATATATAGTAAATGTTTATAAATATATATTTACCTTGTCAAGAGCAATGAATGTTGCTACACCAACATTATTTCTCTTCAAATAATCTACACACTTTTGTGCAGTTGTCATTGTATCAGTAACAATGTTATCAAGGGGTCCACAAGCTGTTGAAATAGCAATATCATATTTTTCATCTATAGCTCCTAAATCTCCCTATATTTTATACACATTACATATTAGAGAAAAATTTGTCAAAACAGAATAAATTTATTAAATAAAATAATTTAATAATAAATAAAGAAAAAATAATTTAAATAAATTCTTAATTAAACATTTTATAGAATAAATATATTTATAGTAAATAATAAATTACCAAAATATAAATATCAAAATCCCAAAGCATGATTATTGATACTAATGATTTCCATTAATAATAATAGCCTGACTATTAACCGTTTATATAGGGCAACCCATATGTTGAGTAGGTGAAGCAAGGTAGTGTTGCATGGTTTCAAGGTTGTCATAAGGAGAGATTCCCGTATAAACACAAATTTTCAGTAGATGCAGCATTTGAATAGAATTGTTTGAGCCCATAATGGGTTGTAATTCTGTTTGAGCACCTTTTTTTTTGAGAGTTTTTTTGGACACAGACAAGACATTTCTTACCTTAAAACAACAAATGTCTAGTGTATACCCCTCTATTAAGTTCACTTGGGAGAAAGAGGTTGATACGGCAATAGCATTTTTCGATTTGCACATATATAGATCTCCTAAATGGTTACTATTCTTGGTTTACCATAAATTTAATAAGATGCCTCATACCATCCCCACATATGCTTTCCAACTTTTGTGATATATGTGATGCCATTATTGCTGCCCTCATTAGAAGAGTGTTCATGTTATCATCAATGCAAGCGCTTGTAAACATTGAGTTAAACACCATTAGTTTGACAGTATACATAACTGGTTTTTCATATGCTAAGTTCAGATATGTGTATAACATGGTCAGGGAATCTCTATTTCCAAGCACATCACTACATAACAAGAGAAAGGTGTCAATAGTTCAACTGCCATTGCCATACCTCAGATCCCTTTCCATATGCATTTGCTGTATATTCAGATAACATAACTTTCTCCTGCTCCTATCTCTGCTATCGAATTTACACAGACTCATCTGCAACAATCAGGATAAATTCTCCACCTTTGGAAAATCAGGAATCTATGCTGTACCATTTTTTTCCCTGACAAAACAGCGAGTCTTTTCAAATCCACGTTGATAAAACAAAGATGAATCATATGTACATTAGTTATTAGTAAATAATCATCACACAAAATAATTGCAAAGTCTGGAATTACACTTTCAATCTTAATATTTTAATAAAAACTGTTTAATATTTTAATAAAAACTGTTTAGGAACTATTTTCATTATAAATTTATTTAAATTAAAAAATAACTGATAGTAAAAATTATTATTAAGATCAATCATATGCTAACTAAACATGATGTCTTAAATAGTAAGCCTCTAAGGTCTTATCTAAGGCCAAACAACTGCCAGATTAAGTCAGGCTATTTTACTGCTACTATTAATAATTAAATACTACATAGTTTGGCCTAGAGATAGGTGTTAGATGCCAGCTCTTATTAAATTTAATAATTATAATTAAATCAATATTTACTAACTAATTAAAAGGTTCTGGAAGAAAAAAATCAGCTCAGGGTAGAACTAAAACCCACAACTGCTACTTACAATCAGAAGTGTTGCCAGTTATGCTATTTGGATCACTGTCAGATCTTTAGTCCCAGAACTATTAATTTAGATATAACCATACTTGTTACTCACAGAGCCAACTGGGGAATGGCCATGAGTGCTAAGTTGTCCCCAGTCAGTACTATAAATAAGTAGCATGGTTATATCTAAATTAATAATTCTGGAAGCAAAGATTTGATGGAACTCCAGGTAGCATAACTGACAATGCATATAATGGTAAGGGCAGTTGAAGATTCAAGTCTCCAAGCCAATTATTTTCTTCCAGAATCTTATAAATGTGACCGCAGGGTCGGCACCTCTTTGGCGCCCTGTCAGGATGACAATGCATATATTCTAGAATAATTCTAGAAGGTGACTTTCTGAAAAACTATGAACTCTTTCAAGATTCATCCCGGTGATTTTGCGTGGTGAACTTATCGATTGTGACTCTCCCAGGATCATACTCGAGGATCATCAGGTGGATGGGAAGGGGTGCTGTAGAGACTGAATAAGAATGCTGTTCAGAACTCTCCAATCGAACTGTTGTTGATCAGCTTGTGGACTGCAAGGAGTGTCTTGTGATTTGAAGATCAATGAGGATCTTCAGGCAAATTGGAATGAGTGTTAAATGAATATGAACTGTTATATTCACTCTCTCATATCCAAATATGAACTGTCATATTACTCTCTCTAATATAAATTTTTATTATAGAATTTTAAAATTAAAATTAAATAAAACATATCATACAAACCACAATTTTATATATGTGAATATAAATAATCATAAATGTTATTGTTATTCTTAAACTTATAGCATTCATTACAATTGTATTAAAAACTGTTTATATTTTGTTAACTAAATAACTATGTTTCACCTCACATATATATGTTATTTAAATACTTAAAGACATTGTTAGAAAACTTATATATGTATATATAAATATTAATATTTATTGATACGAAAAGAAATGTCACAAATAATTTATAATATTGTTATATCACAAACTATTTTACTAATTAATAATGTCTTCATCTTTATTCTAGAATAATCCTAAACTTTAATTGAAAACTTTAATTAAAAACTCATGATTTGTTATTAAATAATTGTTGAATATAGTTACAAATATAACTAATCCGGTTATGCCTATGCGGTACCGGAAATGTACGTTTTATATGTACCTAAATAAAAGATTGTGTGTGTGTGTGTGTGTGTCAGGATGATACCACTGTGTCCTGTAATGGACACAGGAAGAATTTATCGACCGTTTATTTGGTTACGCAAACGGTCGTGTTTGTGGACTTTTAGTTCCGGGATGGAGGCGTAACGAGAGAATCAGAGGGAGTACACTCTACATAATCCATACATAATGCCCATTTATTGTGCATACTATATACAATCGCAATAGCTATATACAATTGGTTCAATGAACATATCTATTTTTGCCCGGTTACCCGTATTCCTGAGAGAGAGAGCTCACATGAATTTTGCGCAAGAATAAATACCTGGGTTTGAATCATCGATTAGTACTTCACAAAGTTCTTTCGAATGTTGAAATGCTTTTCCCAGTTCCACAAAGTTCTTTCGAACATTGTTGGGCGTAGTCCTTCCGAACAGCGGCGATTAGATGAGTTCCGGGTAGCAGCTAATCCGTTCACGTAAATTGCACAGTGCACCAATTTCCAGAGACTGACTCTTACGCATTGACCCCTCCTTTTTATAAAGGGGGTCTCGTTGGGTTTTTTCCACTGCCTTATTAGGACTGTTTTTTCACTACAGACCAATAGTCTTTTTGAGATTTCGGGTGACACATTCGATGTATCATACTTGACAAGGAACTAAGTTCGTGGGAAAAGATTTTTATGTTCTTTTTTATATCTGTTTGTTGGATATTTCTTGAACTTTTCCTCCCTCAACAAAAATTTTATTTAACAATTTATTCCCTAAATTCGACTCTCACATAAATTACTTAATAGATATTAATTTAATTATAATTATTAAATTTAATAAGAGATGACACCTAATGCTAATGCCTAGGCCAAATTACATAGTATTTAATTATTAATAGTAACGGTAATACAGCCTGATTTAATCTAGCAATCATTTAGTTTTAATTTAACTATTAGGCTTTGAGATGTTTATATTTGAACATGTTATCTATTCATTCATTTGTTCATTACTGAATATTTTTTTAATTTAAAGCATAAAGAAACAATACTTGTTAAAAGAAATATCAGAACAGTTAATCAATTATAATAGCAACTTGTTTAATAATGTAAAAAACTTTTATAAATTAGTACAGAATAATTTATTTAAATTAAAAAATAACTGATAGTAAAAATTATTATTAAGATCAATCATATGCTAACTAAACATGATGTCTTAAATAGTAAGCCTCTAAGGTCTTATCTAAGGCCAAACAACTGCCAGATTAAGTCAGGCTATTTTACTGCTACTATTAATAATTAAATACTACATAGTTTGGCCTAGAGATAGGTATTAGATGCCAGCTCTTATTAAATTTAATAATTATAATTAAATCAATATTTACTAACTAATTAAAAGGTTCTGGAAGAAAAAAATCAGCTCAGGGTAGAACTAAAACCCACAACTGCTACTTACAATCAGAAGTGTTGCCAGTTATGCTATTTGGATCACTGTCAGATCTTTAGTCCCAGAACTATTAATTTAGATATAACCATACTTGTTACTCACAGAGCCAACTGGGGAATGGCCATGAGTGCTAAGTTGTCCCCAGTCAGTACTATAAATAAGTAGCATGGTTATATCTAAATTAATAATTCTGGAAGCAAAGATTTGATGGAACTCCAGGTAGCATAACTGACAATGCATATAATGGTAAGGGCAGTTGAAGATTCAAGTCTCCAAGCCAATTATTTTCTTCCAGAATCTTATAAATGTGACCGCAGGGTCGGCACCTCTTTGGCGCCCTGTCAGGATGACAATGCATATATTCTAGAATAATTCTAGAAGGTGACTTTCTGAAAAACTATGAACTCTTTCAAGATTCATCCCGGTGATTTTGCGTGGTGAACTTATCGATTGTGACTCTCCCAGGATCATACTCGAGGATCATCAGGTGGATGGGAAGGGGTGCTGTAGAGACTGAATAAGAATGCTGTTCAGAACTCTCCAATCGAACTGTTGTTGATCAGCTTGTGGACTGCAAGGAGTGTCTTGTGATTTGAAGATCAATGAGGATCTTCAGGCAAATTGGAATGAGTGTTAAATGAATATGAACTGTTATATTCACTCTCTCATATCCAAATATGAACTGTCATATTACTCTCTCTAATATAAATTTTTATTATAGAATTTTAAAATTAAAATTAAATAAAACATATACAAACCACAATTTATATATGTGAATATAAATAATCATAAATGTTATTGTTATTCTTAAACTTATAGCATTCATTACAATTGTATTAAAAATTGTTTATATTTTGTTAACTAAATAACTATGTTTCACCTCACATATATATGTTATTTAAATACTTAAAGACATTGTTAGAAAACTTATATATGTATATATAAATATTAATATTTATTGATACGAAAAGAAATGTCACAAATAATTTATAATATTGTTATATCACAAACTATTTTACTAATTAATAATGTCTTCATCTTTATTCTAGAATAATCCTAAACTTTAATTGAAAACTTTAATTAAAAACTCATGATTTGTTATTAAATAATTGTTGAATATAGTTACAAATATAACTAATCCGGTTATGCCTATGCGGTACCGGAAATGTACGTTTTATATGTACCTAAATAAAAGATTGTGTGTGTGTGTGTGTGTGTCAGGATGATACCACTGTGTCCTGTAATGGACACAGGAAGAATTTATCGACCGTTTATTTGGTTACGCAAACGGTCGTGTTTGTGGACTTTTAGTTCCGGGATGGAGGCGTAACGAGAGAATCAGAGGGAGTACACTCTACATAATCCATACATAATGCCCATTTATTGTGCATACTATATACAATCGCAATAGCTATATACAATTGGTTCAATGAACATATCTATTTTTGCCCGGTTACCCGTATTCCTGAGAGAGAGAGCTCACATGAATTTTGCGCAAGAATAAATACCTGGGTTTGAATCATCGATTAGTACTTCACAAAGTTCTTTCGAATGTTGAAATGCTTTTCCCAGTTCCACAAAGTTCTTTCGAACATTGTTGGGCGTAGTCCTTCCGAACAGCGGCGATTAGATGAGTTCCGGGTAGCAGCTAATCCGTTCACGTAAATTGCACAGTGCACCAATTTCCAGAGACTGACTCTTACGCATTGACCCCTCCTTTTTATAAAGGGGGTCTCGTTGGGTTTTTTCCACTGCCTTATTAGGACTGTTTTTTCACTACAGACCAATAGTCTTTTTGAGATTTCGGGTGACACATTCGATGTATCATACTTGACAAGGAACTAAGTTCGTGGGAAAAGATTTTTATGTTCTTTTTTATATCTGTTTGTTGGATATTTCTTGAACTTTTCCTCCCTCAACAAAAATTTTATTTAACAATTTATTCCCTAAATTCGACTCTCACATAAATTACTTAATAGATATTAATTTAATTATAATTATTAAATTTAATAAGAGATGACACCTAATGCTAATGCCTAGGCCAAATTACATAGTATTTAATTATTAATAGTAACGGTAATACAGCCTGATTTAATCTAGCAATCATTTAGTTTTAATTTAACTATTAGGCTTTGAGATGTTTATATTTGAACATGTTATCTATTCATTCATTTGTTCATTACTGAATATTTTTTTAATTTAAAGCATAAAGAAACAATACTTGTTAAAAGAAATATCAGAACAGTTAATCAATTATAATAGCAACTTGTTTAATAATGTAAAAAACTTTTATAAATTAGTACAGAATAATTTATTTAAATATGTTGTTATACTCTTCACATGAATTTTAATATTTATTATTATTATTTTAATCTAACTTACAAGTCTTCCTAAAATTCCTGGTATATTATTTTGTTCTTTCTGTCGCATTAATGTTTCAAGAACTTTTCCACGACTTCGATTTGCATTCATAGCACTTCTTGCATCTTCAACTCTTAATCGTTTAATTTTTACCTAAATAAAAATAAAACTATTAACACATTTTCCAAATTCAAGAATATTTTTCCCAATTCAAAATTTTATCATTAAAAAAACCACATAGTTTATTTTTAATATTATATAAACCAAATGAAATGTCAGTTAGTTCAGGTATATTTCAGTTATTGTTTAATAATTAATTTAAAAAAACTGAAATCATTAATTTCTTATTGTTTCAAAGGCTTTCAATGAATTTATAGCTTCTAATATTCTGATATTGTCAAGTAATATTTTTTAATACTGATGACAATAATGATTGTTATTATAATACATTTATGCTATCAAAACTAATGAAAATAAATATAATAAGCAGAACCATATTGTATCAATTACATCAATCTTATTCTACAAAATATATCAATATGATCATTTCTTATCATATAACATCATATTCTTCTTTTCAGTAACAAATATCAACATATTGACTAATTGTATTTGCTTTTGTAAGCTACTACATTCTTTTATTCAAAATTACCTCATTTCAAATTCTTTAAAATATGCAAATTACTTTCTGTGAAAGTTGAAGTTGTACACACAACAGAACTCTTGGTATATTTATTTAAAATTTATTCCTCTATACAGGATGGCAATAATTAACCCGTACAAAGTTTGTAGCAATGCTGCACCTGAACTTTTTTACTGTCACCAATTTTCATACTGTTGTTTAATTCTCCATGATTTCCTGCCCATGTAGATGTGCTTTCAGTGTAATAAGGGCTAGTTCTTTATTTTTTTTAAAATGTCAAACAAATGTTGTGCAATTTTGGAGCTATTCCGGCAAGGAAAGCGCCAATGTGAAATTGTTCATTTGCTTGGTGTTCCCAAAATGACAGTCTTGGATGTAGTTCAGCAATTCAAGGAGCTTGGCCATGATGGTGACCATCCCGGACGTGGAAGAACACGTCTAGAAACCGCAAGATCATCAAAAAGCGAGTTGACCGACATGCGAAGATCTCCACGAGAAAAATTGCTCGTGAGATCAGAATCAATCGCGAATCGGTGCGGTTTATGGAGAAAAAGGAACTTGGACTCAAGTCCTACAAGTTCCAAAAGTTTCAGCTCCTCACCAATGAAAATAAGTGCATGCGACTCCAAAGATGCCATCAACTCAAGCATCGAGCTGCAGGTTGACAATGGGAGTGCATTCTCTTCATAGATGAGAAGCTTTTTTCCTTACAACAGGGGCACAACCATCAAAACGACAGGAACTGGTCCACGGAGGCTCCTAAATGCTCAGCCGTCATCAAACATCACCAAAATTTAATGTTTGGTCCTGAATTTGTGCAAGTGGCAAGACACCCTTGTTTTCATCAATCAAGGGTCCAAAATCAATCAAGACATGTACCGCTGTGACATACTTGAGGCCATGGTACTTCCGTGGGCTCAGCAGAATTTTGGTGGTGTGAAATGGATGTTTCAGCTGGACTCAGCGCCGGCACAATAATGAAGAAGACTGAGTGGTGCAAGGCTCATTTTCCTGATTTCATCTCATCTGCGGAATGGCCACCATACTCACTGGATCTGAACCCGATGGACTATAGTGCATGGTCCAGTTTGGAGGCTAGGGCCTGTGCTAAGCACCACAGAAGTTTGGAGTCACTGAAGCAATCCTTGTGCCGGGAGTGGGACAAACTGTCTCCAGAAGAGCTGTGGCCCATCGCTGAGAATTTAGAAACGCGTTTGGGGCTCTGCATCACGGCAAAAGGAGGCCACTTTGAATCCGGCTGAATATCTGATTAATACATAAAGTATTGTCACTGCTAGTCACTGTTGTTTTGCTAATTTTTGTTTCTTTACTAAATTTATGATGCAAAAAACTTGCACGGGTTAATTATTGTCACTCTGTAAAACACTGAAAGCTCTGTTCATTATTACATAATATGATACTTTAATAGCAAAAAATAAAAATAAAAACTTTAGAAATGGTTTTAATAATACAGTAAAACCTACCAAAATGGAAAAAATAATTTAGTGCTGTGAGATTTCACTTTACACACAGGTTTTACCATACTGAGGCAACTCAAAAGCATAATACAGTGGGGATCGGTTAACGAACATAATCCGTTCCAAGACTTTGTTCGTTATCCGAATTGTTCGTTAACCGATTATCGATTTACCATAGGTTTGTATGGGAATTTGATTAATTCGTTCCGAAGACTCCAAAAAATAAAAAAAATATATACTTTTTTTACTACATTTATTTACATGTAATAGTAAAAATACATACATATGCTGTCTTGCATTTTTATTAGTCATGTTTTATCCGTTTGTGGGGGTTAAACAATCTGTCCAATGTCGATTGCTTTTCTCTTTTCTTCAGGATTTTTCGGAAGTAATTAATAGTATTGTAATTGTAGAGATCCCCAACCCAATGAACCTTATTCTGCTTTGGTTGCCACTTGGATGATATAACATCCTCCCACTCCTTCAAAAGATCTTTAGTAGCAGATGTCGACATTGGTCCTCTTTCGTCTTCCTCTTTTCCAAAAGATAACACATTTCGCTGAGTTTCTCGGTATTCTTCATTTGAGAGTTCTTGGAGTTTTTCTGTCGTCAGATCAATTTCAGGTTCCATTATGAGCTCTAAAATGCTCTTTATTTCTCAGACGTAATTTTCATTACTCCATTAACAGCTTGAGACTTCTTGATATATCTTTCATAGCTAAGATTGAGCCTACTATAGACCTGTTCAAGCCATACTGCCTAGCAATATCAGACACCTTGTGCTCACTTTCTACCTTGGCTATTATCTCTTACTTGGTTTCTACAGTGAGCACAGTTCTTGACACTCCTCTTTTTAGGCTCCAAAATATTATCAGTTTCTTTTTTAAATAAAAAGTTCAGAAAAGCACTTACAAAAATTCAGAGAACAGAAATCAACTAGGCCACAAAAAATTATTTAAATACAAGGCCCAAATGAAATTCGAAATTTGGTATTAAAACGTTAACGAATATCCTTTCACCTTTCGTAAATAAACCCCGAAGCAAAATTTAACAAGTACCTGTCCGACAGTCTCGCAAAGACTACAAAAATTATTTGTCAGAAAGGTAAACAAAAAGCCGGAATTACAAGAGTGAGTTTCAAAATTTGGAGGAATACTATCCGATCGGTATCGAGTTGAGAGTCGATCTTATGTCTCCCACGCTCCGGAAGGTTTCGAATTGTTACCTGAAGACGAGGGAAAATCAATTGGTATTCGTTATTTTCGGTCGCTTCTTTTTATGTTTATTCAGTAAAGTGTTCGTGTCCGATCATAAAAATCTTTCGCAAAAGTGTTTGTTATCCGATTTGTTCGCTATCTGAACTGTTCGTTAACCGATCACCCACTGTATAGTGTCAGCTATAAAACATATTCTAGGTCTATTCAATTTGATGCTCTCTTAGAAATAAAGTGTAAAATTTACTTTGTTTTTAATATTTTTTGCAAGTTAAAGTAATCTATATCATTAATATATACATGTGTATATTGAACTCTGATGAATGATAGCAAGGAATTCATACATGCCATCTAAGGCTACAGTGGTACCTTGGTATACGTCTGCTTTAGAATATGTCAAATTCAGAATACATCCTGTTTGGACGAAACAAATTTTGTTCAATATACAACTTAATTCAATTATACATGCCATCTATGAACAAGTAGCACTATCGGTGTACTAGACCAGGCTAGATGTTCACAATGCCACAGTTTATAACTTTGTTAAATTTCTTTTGATTTTAATTTGTAAGTAAAATTTTATTATTTTTATTAATCATGAATTGCAAAAAGGCAAATGAAAAGAAACAGAAAACTAAAAAAAATTACTAAAATCACAATGAAACTGAAAAAAAAGATTGTTGAGAAATATGAAGGTAGCATGCGCGTTCCAGATTTAACTGTTGCATACCATATTCTGAGAACTATGTGAGACCTGAAAGGCCCTGGGTCTAATCTATGAATTTTTATTAAATATGTTTAAATATCGACACAAAATATTACTTCATTTTTGTGAAAAACTAGTGTTTTAGACGTGGGAAAAAACCAGATAACAGATGCTACTTCCTTTCACAGAAGAGAACATCCTCTGACTTTCCCTTATCTGGTTAAAAATCTCGCTCAGATGGGANTAAATATGTTTAAATATCGACACAAAATATTACTTCATTTTTGTGAAAAACTAGTGTTTTAGACGTGGGAAAAAACCAGATAACAGATGCTACTTCCTTTCACAGAAGAGAACATCCTCTGACTTTCCCTTATCTGGTTAAAAATCTCGCTCAGATGGGAAATGGTTACCCCTCATTCATCCCCCTTTTGTCCGTTCTCACGAAAGAGTTACTGGCCGATGATTGGTCGAAATTCAGGAGATATAAGGGAAATTAGTCCGAATTCGGGGAGTTCTTCGACAGATCCGAAGCATCTAAACTCCACGCAGTTCTCCTCCTGATGGCCAACGCCCTTAACGGAGTCCCATAGACGACATCCCGAGTCTACACGGAGAAGTGATATTTTTATATTTTGTGCATGAATTGGTCTCCTGTATGAAAGTAATATGAACTCTATCTACAAGGTGTCCTTTACCTACAGAAACGAAGACGACGACAACTAAACAGGTCGTATGTTTTGGAATGATTTTGTGAGCTCTCTCTCTCGATCGCGCATTAACATAGAATAGGTTTTAGCCTATAGCTTGTCGCTTAATTGTCGTTCATCGATTATTTGTATCCGTTTTGTTTAGATTTATTAAATTTACTCTTGTTTATTTTACAGAAATGTCTCTTCAAATTTATTCCGAATCAGATCGCAAACGCGTGTTAATCCGCGTATAATAAGATCGATTAACTGGTGTCAAGGAATCCTGATGAGCATCTGAACTTCGCCATTCAGATCAATATTGATAACGCTCTCCTATTAAAGTTAGAGAACTGGTCTTACCGACTAGTGCCCGTAAGTGGCGTAGATTAAGACCTACGTCCTGGCGGATCTCACAACTACAATATCGACAATCATGAAAAATAAAGACTGCTAACGTTGCGAAAGGGGTTAAATCAATTTCTAAACAGAAGTCGAAGACATTAGATCATGTTGAGAAATTGTTTTTACTTTGGATAACTGAAAAACAGTGTGCTGGAGACAGCGTATCAGAAGCAATTATTTGCGAGTAAGCTAAAAAATACATGCTGATCTCATGAAAAATCAAGCAGGAACTAGCCAGGAAAGCGAGGTGTTTAAAGCCAGCCATTTTTTTTTTTTACATGAGAACAGAGTAATCACTTTTTTTACATTACTTCTTATGGGAAAGGTTGATTCAGTATATGTCCTATTTGGTATAAGTCCAAACATCAGGAACAGATTAAGGTCATATACCAAGGTTCCACTGTATTTTCAATTTATGATAACTTCAGTTTCTGTGCCATAAGTCAAGACTATGATATCTTATATGCTACAATAAAAACATTTACCTCACTACTTATAAAAGACTCTTGTTTGACAATATCAGTAAGTTCTATCTGATATTTTTCTAATTTTTCTTCACAATCTGGTATTCTCTTCTTTGTGTCATTAATTGCACTGTTTTGAACAAAAGAAAAGATATAAATATTATTATAAATGAATAAACTTTAATTTTTCTTAATTTTATAATTAAATGACATTAAAGACATTTAAATACAGATATCCCTCATATAACATGGTTTCACTCTATCAGTTTGAAAATTAGGGATATACCGCATACAACACAACTTCCAGTTTTGCTCTAACACAGTTTGGGAAATCCTCCATACAAAATTTCACAATTTTTAAGTGTAAATTCCATTATTCAATTTTTTATTTTTTTATTCAAGCAAGCATGCCTGTTGTTTCAAATTTGCCCATAGACAAATAACGTAACCAACACCTTATTGTTTGCTGAGGGAGTTTTTATTAAAAACGAACGTTTTCGATCCACTTAACGGATCATCATCAGGCTAGAACATACGAAAATGGAATACATAATAAATGGAACAATAAGTTCAAAAATACGTTGAATTTTTGAACTTATTTGAACAAAAGGTGTTGGTTACGTTATTTGTTTATTTTTGCTGGGTACGATTGTATTCAATATTTGCCCATAGATTTTAGAATATTAAAGTTTTCAATTTGTTTTGTGTGTTTTGTCAGTTTTACTATAATGAAAACTGGTAGTACAATTTTTTCTTCCTTGACCTAGCTTTCCTATCAACAAGGTGTCATCATTGTCATTGCTTTCAGATTTTAGCCTTTAAGACCCGCTATGTTTTGTTTTAATAGATCAATCTTCATATTTAGTAAAGTTTATTTAAACATTTTTAGGTAAGTGCAACCATATTTTTGCAGAATGACTGGCATGCCACATAAAAACGGGAGAAACCAGCATGCTGGAAACCACAGGATTACCAGCATTCCAGTTAAACTGAAACTAAAATATAAAATTAATCAGATCTAACAAAACCAGTTGTTAATTAAATATTAAAGAAAACATTATTTGGAGTACAATAAAATAACATTTTAATTGAACTGATTTAAAATCAAGAAGCAAGTTTTACTTACAAGACAATAAAACAATTAATGACTTATTGATAGCAGCAGCAGCAGCAGTTAGTCATTGGTCAGTGTAACTGCACTGCTGAACTAGCCTGACCTTAAAAATAACACTATCTTAAATTTCACATGAAGCCATGTTAATCAGTGTAAATTGAGATAATTTACAGTTTCTGATATTTAATATGTTTAATTTTGTGTTTTTGAATCAAGTAACAATAAAATACACATAAAAAAAAAAAGCACTTTCGGAATTCCACGAGTATTTCACATTGTTAGAAAAAAGACAAAATGAATAAATTAAACATATAATTGTAGTTTTTTGATGTAATGCTGACAGTTTTGCAGTTTTTATTTGTTTTTACATGAGTAACTCATTTGTTTTTTTTTAATGCACCCTTTAGAGAGAGATCTATAACCTCACTTAAACCAGCATGTTAGTTTTTACCATACAAAAATATCTGATTTCATGGTCTCCCCAGATAGACTAGCATGCCAGTCATTCCATGAAACTATGGTATTAAACATTTTTTAAAACTGTAGGTAAGCAAACATTCGTAAAATGACAAATGGCAGTATCTTGGTACTAGAACAATTCAGTATTCAAAGAAAAATTCTGGAAAAAAGTTGCTTGGTACTCGACCAAAAAAAAACATGAACTGCTAGAACAAATTTTCAATTAATAACATACTTTTATTTTGCCATCCATAAGTTTTTTATGATAAAAATAAAAAAATATGAAAATGTTGTTGATACTTTTGATCAAGATCAACATAAAAGCTGAGATGATTACAATACTTTGTAAAAAAATCATCCTGATTTAACTAAAATTAATATTAACATGTAATACAGTACTTTTAATTATGATCGTTAATTAATTATTGATTGCTTTAATAAACATATTTCTCTTAGTAATGTAACAGAATAATATACTTTTGCTAACTTCTGAAATGTAGCTCTATGTTTTGTATTAATCCTTTGTTTCATATAGCATGAATTTATATGATGCGGGACTTTTTCAGAATTTAACTACCATGTTATATGAGAGATACTTGTTTATTAATGCAATATAATAATAAAATTCAATATTTTTATTTAATATGGAAAATAGCTTTTATAGCTTTAGTCATAAATCTATCAGTAGTGAATTTAAATTAGTGAATAAATGGTGAACAGAATGCTATTTCAATGTCATTCAGTTTTAGTTTCAAATTCAATATTTATTCTATACAATAAATTAGCAGTAAATAGTAATTTAAATGTAATCTTCTCAAACAGAATAAAATGCTTTATGCCTTTAATATCAAACATTTACACTTTAATAATGAAAAAATTTTATTAAAATATTCTAACAAAAAAAGACATTAAGATGGTCAGATCAGTGTTCCCACTGTCAATTGCCATTTTTACATTGTTCTCTGTCAGATATCTCACACCACTGAAATTTTGACTTAACAATAAGCATAAATAAGACAAATGATAATGTAAGAATCAGGATTTAGGGGGGGTTATTTTTAAAGAAATTAGTAGTTAAGAAGAACGTTCTTATTTTCGACTAAAAAAATATTTTGTTTTGGAGAGAAGTTAAACAAAGAAAAGATGTAGCTTCTGTCATTTTCAAAAGAAGGGAAGTTGAACTTCCTTTAGATGGCTGACTTGAGAGATGATTCAAATGCGGCCTTTGCACATGAGACTTGGCCATCTGAAGCAGCCACTATAAAAAGGGCTTTTTTTCTGCCATTTTAGGCAGTTCAATGAGGTACAAACATGCCATAGGAAGCAGTTCGACAAAAATCAAGATGATTATTAAAAACGAACGTTTTCGATCCACTTAACGGATCATCATCAGGCTAGAACATACGAAAATGGAATACATAATAAATGGAACAATAAGTTCAAAAATACGTTGAATTTTTGAACTTATTTGAACAAAAGGTGTTGGTTACGTTATTTGTTTATTTTTGCTGGGTACGATTGTATTCAATATTTGCCCATAGATTTTAGAATATTAAAGTTTTCAATTTGTTTTGTGTGTTTTGTCAGTTTTACTATAATGAAAACTGGTAGTACAATTTTTTCTTCCTTGACCTAGCTTTCCTATCAACAAGGTGTCATCATTGTCATTGCTTTCAGATTTTAGCCTTTAAGACCCGCTATGTTTTGTTTTAATAGATCAATCTTCATATTTAGTAAAGTTTATTTAAACATTTTTAGGTAAGTGCAACCATATTTTTGCAGAATGACTGGCATGCCACATAAAAACGGGAGAAACCAGCATGCTGGAAACCACAGGATTACCAGCATTCCAGTTAAACTGAAACTAAAATATAAAATTAATCAGATCTAACAAAACCAGTTGTTAATTAAATATTAAAGAAAACATTCTTTGGAGTACAATAAAATAACATTTTAATTGAACTGATTTAAAATCAAGAAGCAAGTTTTACTTACAAGACAATAAAACAATTAATGACTTATTGATAGCAGCAGCAGCAGCAGCAGCAGTTAGTCATTGGTCAGTGTAACTGCACTGCTGAACTAGCCTGACCTTAAAAATAACACTNGTAATATTGGTAACTCCATTTAATGTATTTTTATTCAATTGTGTATTTTACTTTGTATTAATTCTTTAGTTTAGTTATATTAAATTTATTGTTATATAAACGATCTTATTCATTATGCACTCCAACTCACTCGACAGTTGACCCCTTTGCTTTTCTCGAATGTTGTCACTCGAACGTCACAGATATTTCTAATTAAAGATAAATCATGAGTTAAACTGCAAAATAATAGTTTAACTGGTGTCGGAAATCCTGGCAGGAGACCAGATTATAAGATCGTACGTCTCCACCTTTCTAATAAACACTTTAAAAGCCATCCTTAAAAGTTAGAGATCGGATCACAAGATCTCATGCAGATTAAGTGGTCATTCGATTACCCATGACCCCCTGCTTGTCTCACAATAAGCTATTGCTATTACATATGATAGCTGTTTATATATTGCAGTGATGGCATAAATAAATATAAATTTAAATTATTGTAAAGAATTTATCAAACTATTGAAGAAAATTATAAAAGTTTTTCACTTTGGACTCCGAGTGTTCCAAATTCAATAAGAATGCTACCAAAAACAATTAAAATTCTTTACATATTTTACAAAAATTACTACATCTTATGTCATCCACTGAATGTTGGTATATTATTTCTTCTTGTTAGCATAAAATTAGTTATGCAAAAACTGAATATTTGAAATAGTTGAAAGCTGCAATATTCATTACATTTCTTACATTTTCATAAAATATAAAAACATAATGTAAAAAATATAATAATAATTAAAAAAAATCATATAAAACATGAAAAATTCATAATAGTCACATCCTAAAAATATATATATTTTTACTCAAATTTCCAATAGTTTACTTCCTTTTTTTTATGTATGTTTTAATTATACTATCCTTAACTTTATTTTATTTATTAGTTATATGTCATAATAGTTTTCATTGATTATCAATAATTACTAATGGGTTAAGTACTTTTTATTCCATTCTTTGTAAATAATAATGAGCAAAAATTATTATGACATCATCATAATGCCAGGCTGCAAGTTTTAATCATATTTTTAATTTAAAATATCCACAAGTTTCCATAATGTGTTTTTGAATTCTGCCACACGAGAGTGTATGTCTCGGCAGCCATTAAGATACTGCTAGTTGTTAGTATATGTCTGCAATCTTTAGTTTTTCATTGGTGACATGCATTATAAAACATATTCAGGTAGATATTGTGCAGTGGTTGGATGCCATAATAGCCAGAGAGTATTTTCTAAGTGGTTTGAAGCTGTATGAAGGGTACACAAAAACATGATGCATCAAGATTGTCTATGTATTCGACAATTCCAATTACATTCGTTTCCATGTGATGAATATATAAGAAGGGAATGGGTAACCATCCATGCATGTACTGTACATTCAGCTAGAAAAATAACTTTGCCACAAGTCCAGACAGAATGATTACTTACAGATAAGGTTTGTGATTACTCTACATTTTGTCTTAAGAACACAAGTGTTTTGTGACAATTCATTAATTAAAATTTCACCCACTCTATCACTTGAAAAATAATTATAAGACAAGCCTTCTATAATTAAGCATTTCTTGGTAATCATAGCTTTACTTTTAAAATAAGATGTTCAAATATAGTTGGATATTCTCTCATCATTATTTTGGGATTTTATGATACTAATTGATGAAAATAAAATTAAAAAATACAAGTTTGTAGAAGAAACTATACAAAAATCCAAAAATTTTGTATTAGACTTATTTCTATGATATTCTGTGAATATTTTGGATTACTTTATGAATTAAACAATGATGTAAATATTTCCTGATAGATAATAATAGTGAAATATTAGTAAAATTACAGAAGCCAATTTTGCCAATTATTTTCTAGAAACAATAAAATATTCAGGTTTTATTAATTTTACTTTAAATCTTTTTCAGTTTTAAATGATATTTCCCTACCATACATGTAGTACACTTTTTTTCTTTGTTAGAAAAAATTTAAACTCGTGTAAAAAATTATTAAAAATACTCTCTCTATATTTTTGTGTGTAAAAAAAGGGCTGGCAAAAATTACAATTTAATAAAGTAAAAATTAATTATTAAATTGTAATTTCCACAAGCCCTTTTGTACAAAGAAATGTTATATTTTTAATTGTGTTGGGATTATCACCTGTGGACATTTTAGACTGTTTTACATATATGTGTAGAGTAGTAGCCTACAAAGAAAGGTCATCTCTGAAGTTAAAAGTTGTTCCTGGTGATTGGACATCGCAAGCAATGAATATATGTTTAGTATCTGTAATGTAATTTTTACTTTATTAAATACTCTCTTTATAATTTAAAATATAAAAACCCTTACAAATACTACCAAAGTGGTCACTGCAAAAGAATTTTTATTAGTTATTTCAAAATCAATCATATTCTCAATTCTGTAGTTCTATAGTTCCTTAGTTCTTGCAGTATCATAATGGTGGCATGACAGTGGCATTACAGTATGGGAAAATACATGAACCTTCTCTGGTCTGGAAACTAGTGGATACCTTATGGTCTCAATCTCAAATTAGTAATGTCCTGTCCGTGTCATTACACTTTTCTTGATAACAACAGAATCATGCTGGTCGTCTATGTAGCTGTTCTGGGAAATTTTTTAATTGAATTTATATGACTTCCATTTTTGACCAGAAGTTTGTATGAAATTAATCAAGGTCTCCTGCCCATAAGCTTTCCATATTTGGTCTTGACTTTCATCTATCTAATGCTGTTCTCAAGATTAAGGAAAGATAGACAGACAGACAGCCAGATGGAATTTATAGGTCTACAATTTTTGTTTCCAACATCTTTAGAATACACATCTAAACTTCAATCTGAATTGTCTTAATTTTTCTGAATAATTCTGTTGTAATCTTGTTTCTCATTCTTCACCCACAAAGCAAACTCCAATGCAGACAAGCTCACAAATAATAGAAAACACTGAAACTGACCACATAGCATTGTGTATTGGTGCTACATATTACAAAACAAAACCAAATAGCATTTTTTATATAAGAATAATGAAAATATTCTCAAGGTATTCTAGAATGCAAAATGATTATATAATGAAAAACATCTTTTGATTTCCAGTAGTATTTTAATACAACAAAAACGTTTTCAACCTATTCATAGGTCTTCCTCAGTTAGGACTAACAAATAGAATTCATAAAATAGCATTTTTAAATTAAAGTAGTTGGCTAAGACAAATGATAAGCTATTGAAATATGATAGCTTTTTATATATTGCACTAATGGTATAAATAAATATAAATTTAAAAGAATTTATCAGACTATTGAAGAAGATTATAAAAGTTTTTCACTTTGGATGAACCCTTTTTGATGACACAACATATTTGTCTTCCTGGCTTGTGTATTTTAACAAACTCAAAGATATGTAACATTTTTGGTGCTTTTGCAATCTAATTTTAGCATATAATCAGACAAATAGTAAATCCTTACAACAGAATAACTCAACAATGTGCATAGAAAATCACTTTCCCATACTTGAAAAAATGTACAAAGAGATTGCTAGGAAAAACAATGCAAGGATAGTATATAAAAGAAACTGTACAATTTTTAATCAAGACAGAAATGGTAAACCGAAAGATAAATGTTTCACCAAGCCAGGAGTATACTCCATCCCTCTAGAAGTTCAACATTTTCAATGTAAACTTGTATGTGGGAGCTACAAGGAGCCTGAAAGCAAGACTCAAGAATATGAACAGTACAGTCTTATCCAACTACACCAGGGAAGAAGACATAAAAGTTGCATAGGAAGATGCAGCAATAATCCAACCAAATAGAAATCTTAACATCCTCCAACACTTGGAAATAAATGAAATATTTAAAACTCAAAAACAAAAAACTTGTATTAAGTTTAGAGATGCAGACAGTCTTTCCACAGCTTGGAAATACATTTTTAAACTGTAAAATTTGACACTAATGTTCACACACAATCCATGACTTGTTTAATCTCGATTTACCCACAACCTCAATTTCAACTGTTGCCAGTCGAATGTTGAGCTTTTCACACAGGCAGTCTGCTTGAGAAGAACTCAGCTATTGCACATGATGATAAAACTGACATAACTCCATGATAAATCACAAACACCAATAAAAAAAAAAATGGAAACTGGTAACAAAGATGTGTTATTAATAGGCCTACATGCAGCAAAGTTATTGAACATGCACAATCAAATGACTGTAAACAAAAATTGTTTAAGTCATTTGCTCAACATACATTGTCATATGAAGAGGAACCAAGACATTTTTGCCATATATCTAACAATAGCCAGATCTCATCATCTCTCCAAAGATCTTTTTTATTTCTCTGTTGATAGAACGGCACTTGTTCTGCAACCATCTTGTTTCTTCTTGTGCACACGGAATTGTGGGAACTCTCTTATGACTGGATCTAGTTTCAAAAACTCTCGTGTCAATCGCGAATGAACCTCATTTCAGTCAATATTTAAATGATCTAGAGAGGTCACACAATGGCAAAGCCACTAATTTTATCACAATCTAGATTGAAATGCTCAGTGCAAATGGCGTATTACAGCCTATTAGTTATTTTTAGTTATTTATTTATTTATGTTTTGTTTATTTTAAAAGTTAAATTTTAATTATTAATTTTTTATTTTTTTAAAATTTTATACTATACAGGTAGCCCTTGGTTTATGCTGGCTCAATTTACACCGATTCACAATGCCGCTGCACAATTTGCTGTTTTGCAGTGTAATTCCCTGATTTTCACTATACTAGACTGATTTTCATTTCAGTGTTGACGTATTTACCAAGCCGCATTTGTTAAAACAAAGATTTTTATTGAATATATTTATTTTTTCTGTTTAATATTATTGGGTATGTATACATTTGCATTAAATTAATATTAAAGTACTAAATGTTTAGATACCCACGAGTCAAGTTATCAAACTTAATAGTCCAATAAACAGCGTCTGAATCCATAGCGCCAATGAATGTATCCCGTATCAGTTCATTCAGTAAAACACCTTACGATGCAGTAGCACTTCCGGCGATCACAAACTATCGTTAGTGAGACAAATCTACTTCTCGTTGGCCAGACGATATCTATCTCTCCTTAGCCACCTTCAATTTTCCCGTTCAAACTGACCTTATATATGTGCTACAGCGACCAGTGGTGACCAATCAGTGTCTCAGCTTGTCTGTAGCTCTACGCTGGGTTAATGTATCCTTTCGACTATGGAAAGTTTGACGGATGAACTTTGTGAGTTAGACAATGATTGGGAGCGAAGTGCAAATGTAAAAAGGAGCATCATCACATCCATTCGACCATATTCCGAAATTCTCAATGAAAGAAAACAAAAATGCAAACAATTAAAGATGGATACTTTTTCCGAAAAATGTAAGAGATCCGAAACTAAAAATTTTTAATAAAAACATTTCACTTTATTTTATAATAAAATACATTTTAAAAATTAAATTTATATGTATTTTGTATTATATTGTATTAATAAACAAAATTATTTGCTTATTTTTCACTTATTTAGAACCTAACCCTATACCTCAGTGTAAATATGGGTTCATTTTACGCCAATTCGATTTGCACCAGCTTTTCTAGAAACAAAACTGCAGCATAAACCGAGGGCTACCTGTATATGGTTAAATTTTAAAACCTCAGACTTTCTAATTTTGTATTTGTTCAATTTTAATTTAAAAATGCTATTTTATGTATTCTATTTGTTAGTTCTAACTGAGGAAGACCTATGAATAGGTCAAAAACGTTTTTTTATTATATTAAAATAATGCTGGAAATCAAAAGGTGGGTTTCATTTTATAAGAATAATTTATAATATGTACCTCTTTTTCTCCTTTAACAAAGTTTCATTTTTTTCAAAATTTTTAACCATTTCTTCATATTTTGCTGTTTCACGTTTTTCAGTACTAAGATACAGTTCTAACTCTGAGCGTGCTATTTCCATCTAAAAACATCAACATTTAAAATTATTGAATTTATACAGAAATCCATTATTAAATACATATTGAAATCATCTTTTAACAAAATATAATATTTTGTTAAATATAATTGATTTATTTAATATTTAAATTTTTGAACTATGTAATTAAAGAATATTTTAAGTATAGTTTTAAATAATATAAATTTGTATATGTTGCAGTAAAAATAGAAAGAAACTAAGTGCAACTTATAGTTTTAAAAATACACACAATAAATTCTAAAACATTAGGTTGGTCATAAATAAATTCATTCTGAAAGAATTAGTTTATTTATTTCTAACTAGCTTACACGTTAGTGTTGCCTGGAGAATTGTAAACATCTCGTAACTTCATAAAATTTTGTTATGTTACTTAATGTCATGTAACATAATGCATGTAATAAGAGAAAATCTTGCTAAGACTTACTGATGATTTTATAATTTTCCAAATTAAATAGATCAATGGTAACAATAGAAACTGCTCCTATTTCCTCAATATTCCAGGAAATGGGAGATAATTTTGATTGTGACAGCCACTTCATAGGCCACATGGAAATATGGAAATGCAATTCATAAATATAGGATGTCCCATATTTCACAACTTGTGATTTAATCAACTATAACTTTCTAATGAAATCAGATTTTTTTTAATAATGGAAGTTACTTCTTGTTCTCCATTGCAAAGTCAACTTGAGTTCTGCCAAAATTGATACAAATCTCTAAACAAAGTGGCTTTTCACATGCCTTTTAGCAGAGATCAATACTAATCATGTTAAATTCCTAAATGATCACATCATGCAATTCATCCACATTGTATATCCTATGGCTATAAACCTTATATTTTAAATACTCCCATAAAAAAGTCCAATGGAGTCATATCTGAAAACCAAGGGCTGTCTGATATACCCACCGTGGCCATCCAATGATGTGGAACTGGGTCATTCAGCCAATTTTTAGCCATCTGATCAGAATGAGATGGAACTCAATCTTAATGCATACCAAATTTTGTTGATATCTCAAATCGTGTTGTGTCTGCTGAAGCAGCATATACATTTTATCTTCAAGAAGTTCCTGGTAGGATTCATGTATAATGACCTATCACTCAGTCACAAGATCAAATAAACTAGTCTAATCAAATTGCAGTCAACAAAAGTGACTGTAGCCTTTACCATCAGACTGGGACTCTGAAGATCGTACTCAATTACTTTTTCCAGATTAGTTGAACTACCAATAAACACAACTCTGCCTGCTCACAATGACAAGTACACACAATTTTATTTTATAAAAGTACAAAATAAAACAAACTCTCTACATCACTTCATAAAATTTACAGTCAATCAAAATATGTCATGAATTATGGAACACTATATATATATATATATTAAATTAAAAAGATAAGATTAAATTCAAAATTTATTGTTCCTTAAGACTAAATTCTAATAATTAGATAATAAATAAAAGGAATAAACCTAAGTAATAAGCAAAATTATACATTTTCTTTTTTTCTCTTAATTTTGTACATTATTCATTTTAAGAAACCTGTTTAAGAAGATTAAATCTGTACTAAAACAGACTTCTTAAAACAAATAGCATACAAGACTTAAAAAAGATGTATAGGTCATTCATAAATAAGAAATTACAAAAGTCTTTTCTCATTTTCATGATAAATATTAGAAAAGTCTCTTTGATATCCTTTGTAAAATTTTCTATAATTTCTTTCTTTCTATTAAAAATATAACTTTAGTAAATAACAACCTAAAAAACGTTTGATTATACAGTTTAAATACAGGTAGGCCTCCTACAACGCGGTACCTTTACAACGCGTTTTCGCTCCAACACGGTTGGAAAAATGCGGAAATTTTCTTACAACACGGTACTTTTACAACGCGGTTTACAGTATTTAGAAATGAATTAGCTTTCACATAACAGAAAAATCACAACGGATCACGTGATACGAGCCACAGTTCAACATACAGAGCTAAATGTCCTTGAAAACAGCTGTTTGTCGATGTTGACGTGTCATTTCCGTGAAAGTTTCAGGGGAAAACCGATTTCTAGGCAGATGTGCATCAGTTACCGTCAACACTTAAATATATCACTAAACTTTCGATCATTTATACTCTTTCAATAAGTGAGGACCGCAGAAATGGTCCAAAATACAGTATAAACTTCTATTGGGTGTATATTTTTAACAACATAGTGAAGGGAAGTTACTTTTTGCGAGTTTTACTGTCCACAAAACTGATTGAAAAAATTTTAGCGGTAACAATGCCGAATGAAAAGAAAGGACCGTCGTTAAAAAGGAAATTTATATCTCTTCAAAGATAGAAATTTTGGATCGAATTAAAAATCAAGAGCGGATAGCTGATATTGGTAGGCATTTTAATTTAAATGAGTCAACTATTCGGTCGATTAAGCAATCGGAAGAAAAGATTAGGAATTCAGTTGCATCCGGATCATCTATTTTTGCGAATAATGTTGCTCGTCCAAGAGCACCTATAATGGAAAAAATGGAACAAGTGCTAATATCATGGGTAGAAGATATGAACAAGAACAAGAAATGATTGCCTTTAAATAAAAGTGCAATTAAACACAAAGCCTTAAAAATATTTGATTATTTAAAACAAATGGGACAGTCATCACCTGATGAAACCAGTGTTAAATTCGTGGCTAGCAATGGCTGGTTTGAAAAATTCAAAAAACGCCATTCCTTGCACAACATACACATACAAGGGGAAAAGGCCTCTGCGGATGAGGATGCAGCAAAAAAATATCCAGCAGAACTAGCAGATATTATTCAAACAAAGGGTTATTTGGCTGACCAAGTGTTTAATGCTGATGAAACAGGATTATCATGGGAAAAAATGCCTAGCAGGACCTATATCTCAAAAAATGAAAAAACTGCTCCTGGCTTTAAAGTTTCCAAAGATCGCATAACTCTACTTCTATGCAGTAACGCGTCTGGTGATTTTATTACCAAGCCAATGCTCATTCATCGATCACTAAATCCATGCTCGATGAAACAGTGCAACAATTACGACCTTCCAGTGTATTGGAGAGACAACAAAAAGGCATGGATGACTGGCCATTTATTTAAGAATTGGTTCCATAATTGTTTTGTTCCGGATGTAGAAAATTATTTAAAAAAGAAGAACTTAGCATTCAAAGTCATACTAATCTTAGATAATGCGCCCTCACATCCAATTGATTTAAATCATCCCAATGTTGAGATTGCATTTTTACCAGGCAACACCACTTCATTATTGCAACCCTTGGATCAAGGAATCATAGCGGCTTTTAAATCATACTATATCCGTAAATCATTTGAACTAATTTTGGAGAAAATAAATTCTACAGATATTACAGTCAGTGAAGTTTGGAAACAATTTTCAATTTTAAATTGTGTAGAAGTTATCGGCTCGTCCCCTAAAAGAAATTCACCAATCGACTCTAAATGCTTCCTGGAAAGCTTTATTACTGGAAATGGTCAGTCAGGAAAATGTTGTTGAGCCAATTCAGCGTGAATATGATAACATAGTAAGCCTTGCACACGCAATAGGAGGCGATGGATTCACTGAAATAACTGTTGATGATATTCTAGAATTAGTTACGGAAAATGAAATAAATGAAGCAGATTTGGTAACAGTTATATCCGAAACATAACGATTGAAGATAATTCTAAAGATCTTTTCAATGAAGAAACCAAAAACTTCACTGCAAAAGGTATAGAAAAACGTTTGGACATGGTGAAACAGATGGAATCTTACTTTTTAGAGAACTATCCTATGCCGAAGAGAGCGGAAATATTTAAAAGGAATCTTCAAAATTGTTTATCTGTCTATCAAGAAATTTATAAAGATTTGCAAAGCAAGAGCAAACAATCTCTAATGACAGATTTTTTTAAAACCTAAACCTACTGGAAGTGCAGCAGAACTTGTTGATGAAACAAGCTCAGATCTTGAAATAAGGCCAGTCAAACGTTCTCAAACAACTATAATAGGAGACAATGAGGACTAAATTTGTGAGCGTAACATTGTTTCTTTTTGATTTTGACTTAAAATCATAATCTTTTTAGTTTTTATATTATGTTTAATTTTATTTAAGTTTTTTATGAAATGTTTTTATGTACTGTACATAAATTTAAAAATGATGAAAATGTTACACAATAAAAGGCAGTTTTTCTCTTTTTAGAACCGAATTCCAGTTTTTGTATTAAGTTGGTGTCTCCTATAACGCGATTTCCCACAACACTGTATTTTCAAGGAACGTATCTACCGCGTTGTAGGAGGCCTACCTGTATGTTTATTTATAATAGATAATACAATAGACTGTAAGTAAGTCAAATTTCCTAAATATGAAATTCTCACTAACTCAAATTTTATTTTTGAGTTAGTGAAAATTTCATGCTTATAGTGAGATTTCCTGTCTTAACTCAATGCATTTCATGCTTATATAAATTGAAATAGTTTTAATATCACATTTTATTAACTGTAAATTTAAGGTCCAGAGTGTTTATTTTCATGTCTAATTTTGAGCATTTTTATGTTTTCATGGAGATGTATTATATCTTCATGAAACTGAAGGTTGGTATTGTATAGGTACTTCTGATTGTACAACATAAAATTCAAAATTTTAACATGTTTTATGCCTTTTTCATAACTATCCTATCCTGAAATAAAAATTAACAAAACAAATTTTAATGCTTTAAATTGTTATTTTTTAAATTTTATTTTTAAAATGTAACAAACACATCTGGATCTGACAATTTACTAAGTTTTTGGCCAATTAAATTTATTAGTTTGTCCATAAATATCTTTTTATTAAAAATATGCTAAACATGCATATTGAATAAATTGCAGGTTGACACATATTCATCACTGATAATGACTAGTTAATCAGTGTGCTGTCATTTAATTAGTTAATCAGTTTGCTGTTAATTAGTTAATCAGTGTGCTGTCATTTTCATTAAAAATGACAGCACACTGATAAAGTGGATGTTCAATTCATTAAGTAGATGAAAATGAACAACAACAACAAAAAAAAACTAAAAATTTTATTAATTATAAAAAATGATATCCATCATAAAGTATGTGGAAGAAAGTAAAAATAAAAAGTTAGAAATGAAAAAATATTTGACAGTACTCTCTCTATATATCTAAAAAACAAGAAAAGCATTTTAGAAAGTTTCAATGAACAGAATGACACAAGAGAAAAGCAAGTGTAAATGCAAGTATCCAGATACTGAAAAATGTTTACTGAAGTGCATTGCAACCTGTAGAGTTGATAATACACTTCAACCAACAGCAGCATGATAATGTGACAGCAGAGTCTACAGAGTTCCATTACATTAGCTGTCACTCACTATGCTAGACATCAAACTACATATGCAGACTTCTGGTCAAACACAGTCAACTTGGCAAGAGAAATTATAATTAAACATCCACATAAATTTTATATACATTTTATTTCATAAATAATCATAATTTTCTTGTAATTTAAAATAATATTTAATCTATGATGCATGTGAAATTATTGTGTTTCATTAATAATGAATACAGTAACTGATATATTTTTTATTTTGAAAGATTTCTTAAGCTTTCAAAATCTAAAAATTTGTAGTTTTTCAAATTTTAATTTCACACTTTTATACTTTTAATATCAGAAAATTAATTGGAATAAATCCTGCATATTGAACAAAAATTTTATTAATTATACTTTTTCTATTTAAATATATTTATGAAACTTAGAATTTTAAGAAATTAAAAATCTATACATATCAGTGATTTTTAAACATTTCAAAATAGATATTCATATTTAATTAAAGTGGGAAATTTGTACCAGAAATTCATTACTTTTCCATTTTATATCTGGTCCACATTAAGTGTGAAATCTGTGATAAATGTATAAAATATTAGTTTGTACATTTCTAATGCAATACTAATTAGCATTATTTGTTGCATTCAGACAAAATTTCTTAAATTAATAAAATTTGTTTTATAAACATAATTGAAATTATTGAATAATGCAGAGTAATGAACACCTTGCAGAGTAACACCTTGCATTGAATAATGCAAGGTGTCATATACTGCTTCTGATCTAATGTTCAACTTTGCTGTTTGATGCCAACATCATGATGCAAAGAGTTAGCCACTGTCTAGAGTTTGACTGTAAACCAGACAACGTTCTCATTGACTCTAGTTACAATGACCTTGAAACTTCATTCATCAATCACTACACTGACCTTGAAACTTCAGTGTTCAGGAGCTGTAAACAGTCCTGAACACTGAAGAGACAAGTATTGCTATTGATGATACACTTCTTAGAGAAATGACCAAACAATGTAGACAACAGCTGGGACATTCCAAATTTACAGCAAGCAAAGAATAAATTTAAGAGGCAGCATGGAATAGTTTTTAATAAAATCTAAGGTGAAAATGAGTGCAGAAGTGCAAAAGGAGAATTTCCCAAAGTGGTTAAAAAGCTTACCAGAAATTGTACAGAACTATAGCCCAAATGATATTTTCAAAAACAATGTTGTTCAAAGTGATTTATGTTGTGAAAGTAAAAAAAGCAAAAAGTATGTAACTTTTGGTATAAAATATAAAAGGTAATTAAAAAGTGTCATCACTATTTGTAAAATCTTTAAAGCATCAATGTTTTCACAATGCCAAGATGTTACCTATATAATTTATAGAAAATGAGAAAGCCTGGATGATGTCAGAGCTTTTTTCTGACTGACTGAAACTGACTTTACACATACAAAAAACATTCTTTTTATCAGCAATTGCATTACACATTTGATGATTCCTACTCTGATAGCCTAATAATTCAATTTTTACCACAAAATACAATTTCCAGATTGCAACTTTCAGATCAAAAACTCATTCAACACTTTAAATATAGTATTGAATAAGTGTCTTTAATAAGCTTTTAGCTTATTAAAATTATTAAATGCTATTTAAAAACAACAAAATCTTAACATGTTTATAAAATTAAAAATAATATAAAAAATAAAGTACCTTTGACTTTGTTTCATTGACATTTTTTTGCAATTCCATTAGTTCTGCTTCAAGATTTTCTTTCTTCTGTTGAAGACCTTTTGTTTCTTCTTTGAGACATGTCATAACCTATTAATATTATTTCTTCTAAATAAGTAATTACATATTTATTGTAATAAATCTATAACATACAATCACAAGAACTCTTTTATATTAAGAAATTTTGAAATAATAAATTCAAAATTGCATAAATAACAATATATACAGTACTTATTGGGTTGTTCAGAATATTGCGTTTTCCGTGGAAAAAAACGCAATATTCTTATGATTAATAAATATTTTACTGAATTATATGTTGACCATTTTGGTCAAATACCTGTTGTCATCGTTTCTGGTAGTAGCACGATTTCACATTCATAAAAGTTTTGATCGTTGCTTACAAAAAACCGATCCAAGTGATTTTTGACATTGTCATTTCAAGTAAATGTCTTACAGTTAAAAAAAATTTGTATAGACCGGAACAAGTAATAATCTGAGTGTGCTCGATCTGGCGAATATGGTTGGTGTGATAGCACGTCCCATCTAAGTTATAACAGTTTCTGACGAGTTACCAAACTTGTGTGAAATTTGACATTATCGTGGTAAAACACTACACCTGTTTTGTTGATCAATTCTGGCCGCCTTTTCTGTTTGATGATATTACTCAATTTGTTTACTCGATGGCAGTACACTTTCGAATCAATTGTTAAATTGTCTGGTAAAAGCTCCAAAAAAAATTTCCTTAATATCCCACCAAATAGAGCATTTCTCTTTAAGAACTCGTGGAATTCATATATCGAGCTTTGAAACGAAACCAATTTGTTTCAAGTACTCATAAACAGTTCAATTTGACAAATTTAATCTCTTAGTGATTTCACGTGTTGTTATTCCGCAGTTTGCTTCAATCGGTACTTTTATTTTGTTTTCATTGGCTTCAATTGGCCATCCATAACGTGGTGCATCTTCAATACTGAAATTGCGAGAACGAAATTTTGTAAACCAGTTTTGGCACTGTCGTTCTGTCAACACATCTCCACCATACATGTCACACGATTTTTTTCTTGCTTGAACGGCATTTTTATTTTTTTGGTAATAAAAAAGCAAAATATGCCGAAGATGCTGCTTTCGATCTTTCATATTTGATGGGACACAAAAAATAAACAATTGCACGAAATCAAACAAAATTTTTTACAAATAAGCCATAAAATGCTAGCTGTCAAAATATATAATGATAATACGGTTTAGAACGAAAATGGCGGAAAAAATACCACTAATCCGTCTAGTGGTAAAAAAACGAACTTACTTTCCGAACAACCCAATATAATCTTACTAAGAAATACAAATAAAATAAATATTTGTTTATCAATAATTTTTAAATTTCTAAATGATTAGTTCACATTGAGTTTTTAACTATTCATTACCACTCCAAAGGCTTCAACTAACATATCAAAAACTTGTAATGTTTCTGCTCCAATAAAACAGTTTTTGATGTGTCACATGAATTTCTTTTCAGTAAAAGATGACACTTCATATTTTAAAATTTGAATATTTAAATTAAAATATGAACATTTTTACATTCTATATATAGTTACTGAACTATGAAATTCAAATGTAGCTTATATTTTAATGAACTATAAATAATTTCAAAAATAAATTTCTAAACAAAATCTAAATTAACTTTTTCAGAGTTTGTATTTATAAACAAAAAGTTTTTCCATTTTCTTGAAATAATAAAATGGAGAATTACATATTCTTATATTAAGTACAAAAGAATTTCACTACAATAAAATTCATTTCAAAATGTTCTAAAATTTATATCGTTTATATCAGTTAAATTTTATAAATTTAATCAGTTTATAAATTTTATCAGTTTATAAATTTTAATTATTTTTTGCCAATGTCTGCTAACAGTATCACACTAACAAAAATTCATTTCTCGCTATCATTCCACTTATCACTTAATTTTTTCAGGTAATATTAATATTTTTTTATTTATATTTGCTTTTATAATATTTTTAATGATTAATAAAGTAATAATTCAATAAAAAATTTTTACAAAACAATTAAATTCTACTTTAAATACCAAAAAGCAGTTCCATCCTTTGAGAGCTAATCAATCACATAATAATATATACTATTCTATTGTGAGAATCTGAAGTTAAGGGATTTATTTTAACTTAGATAGGTAAATTTTCTATCAAAATAATTTTAAAATATTTTAACAACAAAATTGTTAAAATTTTTTAAAATTATTTTGATAGAAAAATTATCTATCTAAGTTAAATGGGAAACTTCCTTTTTGTCATGGAGAGAAAAGTTAGTGCCTCCAAAAGCGACAGTTCGAGTGTGTTGTCCCACTCTTCTATCTGTAAGATCACCCAAATTCCATCATGTATCAGAAGCATGGTGTGATTTTCCAATAATTCTATTCAATAGAATTCAGCATAAAAGGTGAGAGGTTATTACATTAGTGTACAACCTGCTCTTTGCAGCAAATAGATGAATGTTTTAATTTTGGCATGCCAAGTATAATGCCAAGTTGATGCCAGAAATTTTGCTTTACATGCAATTTTGTTATTTAAATTTGTACATTTTTTATGTTGTTTTATTTTTTCAACTTGCAATTCCAACTTGCTCTTGTTTTGGCATTCAACACTTTTGCCATTGCTCTTATCCCTCTGCCAGTTCATTACCTCGGTTCGTTCCAGGACTCTCCATTCTCTCTTACAAACATAGAAAGATATTAGTGATATAATTATTTTATGTAAACTCTCTCTCATCAGGATAGGTCATATTTGATTGTTGAGTAAAACATAATAAATATATAGTTATATTCTTATTCGTTGTTTAGTTGATTTAATGCCTAACTCCATAGTCAGCCCACATATTTCAAATAACTCACGAGATTAACGTTGTTAATGTTTAAGGCAAACCCTCCTAAAATTCCAGTTGATCTTTAGAAATATCTTGTTCCACTCGGAAGATAAGTTAATCGCAAATTGAGACACTATAGAAATTATCTCAACTGGTGTCAGGACAGACAAAGATTATACTGATCTTCCTTTATTTTAACATTTCCATCTTGTATGTAAAACAGAGTTGATCTTTAGTCCCTGCTTTTCAGACTATTATCTTTAGCCATTCATCCTTGAACAAAATAATGCATCATACTTCCAAGTATTGGAAGAAAGTCAATCATCATCTACATAAATAAAAAATTTATTGTAGCTGACTAAAATATAACATAGAATAGAACTTTCCATTTAAAATTAAAATGTTATTTATAAACTCTTTACAAAAATTCAGTGCTTTTCTGACCAACACAAAAAAATAAAACAACATAAAAAATGTACAAATTTAAATAACAAAATTGCATATAAAGCAAAATTTCTGGCATCAACTTTATACTTGGCAAGCCAAAATTAAAACATTCAACTATTTGCTGCAAAGAGAAGGTTATACACTAATGTAATAACACTAGTTTTGGTATATTAGAAAACTGTCAGCTATAAAGTAATAGACTGAATTAAAGGGTGAACCCAGTGCATTAAATATATATTTCAAGATAAATATTTGTCAAAGGAGTACTTTGTTTTCTTTACATAAAATCTCCATTGTTACATTTCATAAAATTTTTCTTAAAACAAATGCATCAAACTCACATGCTTCAACCTTATAGATATAATTTAGCAATTTTTATGGGCAAATGGATCAACATTCATCTTAATTCAAGCAATGAATTCATCATTCCCATCAATATAAAAAACAAATGTTTACTGAGATAAACTCAGATATTATCAGAATCCTGATATTATAATTCTGTAAATCACAGTTGAAAACAGTTAGTGTAAACATTAGCTATTTATTAAATGTTCTTTTTGCTGGATTTCTATTTTTTGTGTGTGAGTCAATGTAACTATCTGCTAGTTCATGTACCAGCTTGTAAAAAATTACCTAATAACTCTACTAAACGTTCTCAAACAACTATAATAGGAGACAATGNAAAAATTACTTATTAATCTTTAACAAAAAAAATGTATAAATATTTAATAATATATTTAGAATAACTTATTTTTACCTTAGCAAGTTCTTCCTCTCTAACATTTTTCTCCTTTTCAAGTTTACACTTTTTTGCTTCCATATCAGAAATTTCTTTATTTAACTTATCTGGCTGTTTCTTTAAATCTTCTAGCTATCATTTAAAACTTGTTCAAATTACTTAATAAATAAATATAAACAAATACTTAAATGATTATTTTAAAATACACTAAAAATTAACATTTTACAAATAAATTACTCTCTTCAAACACTAATCCTCATCTGTAATTATCTGTATATTTTTAAGCAGATCAATTTTAAAACCAACATTTTAACAAAAAATAAAACGTCAAAAATTTAAATCTAAACCATTTTCAGAAAAAAGTTTGAGATTGCATGTTAAGTAATATCTTATTTAACAAACAATATTTTTTGCTTATATGCTGAATAATTGATTAAAAATATATCGTACTGATTTCTATCACTTTCACTTCCTTTTTTATCTTTTTATACAAAGAATTCAATATTACATAATCATAAAATATAATTAATAAAAAAGGCAATTATTTTCTTACAGCTTAAAGAATTAAATTTAAATAATAGTTATTTCTAAACATTGTTTGGATCATATTCAAAGTTTAATTTTTTAAAACTGTTTGTCAAAATTTCTTTCTCCCTTAACAATGGTTCAGGTATATTATAAAAAAGTAATTTTTTACAACATGCACCCAATGATCTGTGTATTTTTGGAATGTATGAAAGGCAATTTTTAATACTTCTATTCTATGAATATGTATTTGAAACAATTCTTTATAATTTATGAGCAATATTATTTTATATGGTTTTGTTCCTACACTATTGTAGAGGATGATGAGTAAATAGTATCCTGCTGAGACTTTCGGTTTAGCTGAAGTCTGCTTATTGTTTCTTTAGTGGTGATAGTTTCTATGGGGTGAGGTTGGTAACCCCACACGCAATCTTTCTCCTTTCTCATCCAGTCTAGGGACCAACAATGACAGAGTAAAATAGTTCTATCTAACACTTACAAATTGAAGCATTGCAAATCAAAAGTTTCTTCTTTGCTGACTTTAAAAAAGCCTTTGACACTGTTCATCATGAATCATTGTGGAATATTGTTAGATCTTATGGCATACCACAACAATACATTAATATTTTTAAGAACTTGCATCTGGAGTCTACCTGCTGTATAAAGACAGAGGATGGATACACTGATTTCTTCAAAATTGAAACTGGTGTTAGGCAAGGCTGCACTCTCTCAACATTACTGTTCCTCCTGGTCATAGATTTTATAATGAGGTGAGCAAAGATCATCCCTGGTGCAGAAATTCCACGAAGAGGACAAATAAAAATCACAGACCTGGACTTTTCTTATGACATTGCATTGATATCAGAAATGCACCCAAAGATACAGAGAATAACCAACAAGCCTTTAACATGAGGCTGGAAGGGTGGGATTGCAGATCAGCCATGGTAAAACAAAAATAATGTCTATAATAGGCAAACAAAAGTAAAAATCACAGTCAGGAATCAAACAATAGATGAAGTGGAGGAGTTCTGCTACCTTGGTAACATGTTATCATAGATGAAGGTATTAAAGCTGATATAAAATGCCAACTTGGTAAAGCAGCAGCCATCTTTCAGAGACTACACTCAGTCTGGTTTGCACGAGTGATCAGTACAGCAACTAAGAAATGCTTCTACAACTCCATTGTCATCCCAACTGCAATCTACACCTGTGAAACATGGAAAGACACAAAGATTACTCAGAAACTCAACATATCCCCATCGACACAATCTTTGAAGCATACTTAGAATTACATATTGTTACCATATCACAAAAGAGTAAGTCCCCAGAAGTGGTCTACACAAACTACAGGACATTATTATAGAGCATAAAATGTGTTTTGCAAGGCATGTACTGTACTTCATTTGCTGGAGGAATGCTTACCAAAAGTAGCCTTACAATGGAAACCATGCAGTGGAAAAAGGAAACAAGGTAGACCATAAAGAACCTGGCACTCTACATATAAAGAAGATCTAAAGAAGATTAGAATTTCATGGAATGATGATGAAATCATTGCAGCTGACTACATTCACTGGAGACAGCAAATTGCCCAACTTCCACTTAGCACAGGAGAACCTAAGACTAAGACTAAGACTATTTTTGTAAAAATTTAAAATCCACTTTCACAAAACATGTAGAACTGAAGTATTGCTGTTTCTATAAAAATAATTTAATATAAAATTCATTTAATATGCTAACCTTTTTCTGTTCATTTTCTTTAGATTTTTGTAAAGTATTTAATTTATTTTTTGAATGTTTTAAATTTTCTCTGGATTGTAAATCTTGTCGTTCCAATGCACTATACTGTTCTTTCTTCTCTTCACTAACTTTATTGAACTGTTCAAACTTCCTGTAAAATTTAAAAACTTATAAATATATATTTTATTATATTTAATTCTTATCAAAATTTTAATTTTATTGTAGCATATTGTATTTATCACTTGTAACAATATGTAATTTTATTATAGCATAACTTTGATGCAAATCAACTGTCTGGAAACATCTTTTTAAATGTCTCTCCAATTTTTCAAAGAAATATAATAAAAATTTATTTTGAACAGCATTAAGAATACACCTAACCTCATCACTGTTAGAATATAATGTTTCTATAGATTTTTGATTCTCCTTTTGATGAACTAAAATGCATGGATGCAGAAAGTATAGATTCATTATTACTGTTGTTCTGGTTTCAGTTCACAGTTGCAACTTGAATAAAGATGTTTACATTGGGGTTTATCAGAAATATTTTTATAGAAGTTTGTAAAGTTCAGATTTTGACCAATTTATTGTGAAGTTGCCTCTTACTGACAATAACAAGTGCTTTTTTCCCCCATATTCCAGAGTGTAAAATTTTTTGCACACCTTAAAAAATCAATAGTATAAATCTTCACTTTTTCTTAACAACCATAATGTGGGTTTCAAAATAGTTCCAACCATTGTTCATTAAGTACTGTACTTTTTAAAATGTTATTTTAATTCAAAATCTAAAATTTATTATTTATTTTTTATTTAGAAAAATAAAATTTATACTCACAAATACAGAATATAGAATTAAATGGGATATGGAGTATCCTTTCAAATGTACTCATGAAATTAATAAATTTACAATGAAAATATAAAAAATTATGTTTATCTGAGCATTACATGTTTGCACTTACTGTAACAAAATTGTTTCACAGCTTGTAGAGTTAACAGTGAAAATAACTGCAAGTGCTTTATCATCCCAACATGTCAGAGAAAACAAATTACAAAATCATAAAAGTAGAATTTTATATTTTAGTTAGTATCATATCTCGACACTGGACAACTAAAACCAAAGACAAGAAATACAAAAAACAAGAAAATCACTATTAATAAAAGTTAACACACATTCCTGACTTTTTTCCTCATTTGTTTCATATTTCTTGACTCATGTAATTTTTCATTCTTTTTCCTGAGTTTTTCTGATCAAAATAAAAAATCCTGATTTTTCTTGTTTGCAGAAACCATGAATATATCATTTTTACAGAATGTCAAAAGCATTAACATTTATTCATCTCTCAAATGGTCTTCCATTTGACAAATGTATAAGATTTGTAATTTTATTTATTTGTATACCTAAGTTAATCAAATGTTAAATTATATATCATGAGATTAAAATGATAATCATGTAAATATATGTTATAATTATTTTGTTAAACTATTAATTTTCTGTACTATCCTATAAGCCTTCTTTGTAACAGGATCTATCCCTATATACAGGGTGCATAGGAAAATCCCTTTAACCAAAAAATTCTTGCGAACGGAGAGAGCTACAGCTATGCAAGTGAGGTAATGGTATAGTAAAGCGACTATGCCCGACCTAATGCGAATGACAGCAGCGCCCCTATGGCGAAATTTGGAAGATAGGCAGTGCAAATTGAAAATGAAAACAGATAGAGCAAACTTTCCAATTAGAAAATTTTAGAGCATCAATTAATTAGTACGAAATGACAGGTGGTTCACATGAATAAGATAAATTGTTGCCTGTATATCCGAAAATGTCCGAAAGCGATGCATGCCATTTTGTGTAAACGTTTGAAAGGAATAGCCATAGGTATGAAGAAATATGCACAATTTATTGCATAAAATACGTACTGCTTTCTTGCTAAAATTACCCTGCTTTCTTGTCGCATCATTTTTGTCCTAATGGAGAACAATCCTGCAAAAATACTAAAAACTGGGCCAACTGAGGATTTTTTAACAATTTTCAACACACCCATTTACAATTAGGGGTAGAAGGCAAAAAAACATGGATTAGTTAATCAATCACATAAGTACTATCTGAAAAAATGTAAATGAAAGTCTTGTACAGAATCATTTACTGCATTCTAAAATCAAACCAACCACATTGACAACAGGGACTTGTAGAATTGCAAAAGAACTGGAAAAGGCTGTTGCTTGACTTTCCAAGCATTCATATAGGAAGTTAAGGGGACCAAGTAGTTCAATAATTTTCAATATTACTATAATATAAATTTAAGTACAGTGGAACCTCGCTTAACAAAAACCTCTCATAATAAGTAATTTGCACAACAAGCAAAATAAATTGTAAAAAAAATGACTCACTTAACAAATAACATTTTGAATAAGGAGTACCGAGCAGAGGGGAAGTCCCAGATTGTGCATATGCTACATCAGTCTGTGTTCAGCACTCATTCTGCTAGCATCTTAGTGTTGCTTATGATCACACATTTTCCCAAACTTGTGTCCAGACATATTACATATAAACATCAACAACTATAGCCCATTATATAATAAGCACATCAAACAATATGCCAAATTCTAGGGCTATGTAAAGACTATAATTAAATATTAGAAACTGATTAATTTGACTAGAGTAGGCAGTTATGCTGCCAACTTGTATTAAATTTAATGACAAATTCCAAATTATATTTTAGAAAAGTCTAAATTAAAAATTATTTATTTATAATTATTAAATTTAATATGAGATGGAAGCATAACTGCCTACCTCTAGTCAAATTAAATTTCTTTAATTATAGCCTTTACATAACCCAAAAATTTGGCATATCATTTGGCTGTTTATGAGACACATTTTTTCTATTCTTTTGTTTTCTGCAAATGAATTCACATTCCAGGTTTGTTCATTCTGCACTAGAAGAAAAGATGAAGATGATTCATGCTTCTTAACTTAGTATATTGTATAATTTTCTTTGAATAAATGTTATACATAAAACATTTGAGTATTTTTTTTCAGCATGGAATGCATTGTCGAATTTTACATCAATTTATAGGGAAAAATTGCTTTGTTTAACGAGTGTTTTGAATTATGAGTGAGATTCTGGAACAAATTATGCTCATTAGACAAGGTTCCACTGTAACTCCAATATAACTTGTAACTGTGTAACTGTGAACCAAGTAACTGTGGAAGAGGTTTTAATCACATTAGAAATTCTTAAGCTGTCAAGAAAAAAACTGTTTTTAGTTGCCTTAATAACTGACAGTGCTCCATACATGCTTTGTGCTAGCAGAAGGTTGAAGTGTTTGTCCAAGCATGCTAGGCTTGCATCCAATTTCAAGCTAAAGAAATCAAAGTTAAGTTTGCTATATTGAACCAGTTCACTGCTAGTGTTAAAGCAGAAACTATGAAGTGCCAAGAAGAAGAATGATTCTTTTAGACTGCCTTAAGAGAAATGGAAGAACAAATGCTTCGCAATTTATCCCAATAATGTAATAGCAAGGTGGGATACATGACTAGAGGATGCATATTATCATTTGCAATACATAAATGCTTTAAAGGAATGGATTTTTTTTAATACAAGAAGAGGAAGTATCTGCTGCTTGTCATCTTTTTGAATTGTTAAAAACAAAAATTTGAAATATTGCTATAAGCTATTGGGGAGATATCTCCAAATATTTGTAAGTTAATTTACAATTTTGAAGCACAACCACATTATGGGTTTCTTGCCAACAATGTCTAGCAGAATCTCATAATGCTGTAGACATTACAGGAATTTACCCAGCCAAAAACTAGCCACTTATATGAGTGGACAACATTCTTCTGTTACTTTCTGGAAAGGAGTTCAGCAATTGGATCCAGCCCATTTCAGCAAATTTAATGTCATTCCTTCAGAACTCCAGTTACAGGAATGGCATCTCAGAAGAAAATGTGCAATTAGATGAAATTGCTTGTTATCAAAGTTCAATTTCAAATTCATCAAAACAATCACAAGATTCAATGAACTTTTGGGAAAAACCATACAAAGGATATGCCAATATTTAGCATGTTTGCTGTGGGTACATTGTCCTTTTTTTACAGTTCAGTTGAAGTTGAACAAAGATTTTCAACAACTAATAAAATCTTAACATCCAATTAAACTGTTTGACAGAAGAAAATTTAGATATTCATGTGAGATTATCTTTTAATAAGAATTAACACTAACTAAGTGTTAAATTAAACCAAAAAGTGAGTAAAATGTAACTATTAAAAACGTTTTTTTCCTTTAAAAATAAAGCATTTCTGATGAGCAATTATAAAAACTTAAGTAATATTTTACACTGATCATAAATTATCAAGGTAACATATATTCAATGTTTATGTTTTCTCTGTTTGCATCTCAAATTTCTTCAGTAACTATATTCATAGAAAACCAAAAAAAATATGCATGGCTATGTGCATACACATGCAATTTATTTATAAATGGTCTATTTGGTTTTTCTAAATATGAATCATTTTAATCATTATATTTATATAACATACTCAAAAATTTTCTTGTATTCAGTTTCTTTTCCTTTCTTCTCTTTCTTCAGATTTTCCAAATTACCTAAAACTTCTGACATTTCATTAGTAATTTTATCTCTCTTCTTACTTGCTTCTTCAGCTTTATGTTCTTCCTCAAATCTGATAAAATAATTATTATATAAGGTTAAAAAAAATAATTTTTTCATACTCAAATTCTGTCTTTTAAAAATCTACTAAATACTTTATAAAACATTTATTCTTTTTCATTGTTTAACTTTATAGTAAAAATCCAAACATAATTAAGTTTAAAGTTAAGTTTAAGATAAAAATCTAAACAAAGTTAAACCTCACAAAAATTAAAGAATTATCATAAAATTCAAATAAACCACTTATTGTAATTACATTTAATTTTTATGATTTAAAATATAAAATAAAATTCAAAAATTCTCAACAAAATTACATTTAATTTTGAAACTATAGATATTTTGTATTAATTTACTAATTAGATCTAGCAGGTCTATGACACAATATATACATGATATATGGTCTGTATTAAATTTTTTTTCCTTTGTCTAAACTTGCCAAAAGCATTCTTAATAGTGTGGAAAATCCTTTACATGCTGCAGACAAACATATCACAATTTTTCCTAAAACCATCAAATAAACATATGCATGTCTCATCTTTAATTTTTTTTCTTCTATTTACTGTATGTCATAGATATATTAACTGATATTATTATATTAGACAATTCTACATACTTGTGCTACAAACTGTATCCTGAAAGCTGATAAATTTTCAATAATTCCACTCTATATATAACAACACCCATTATTAAAGCCAAACTATTAATGAACTTTAGATGAAATATTTGAATATCTTCTATATACTGTAAGTGTCATATTTTCAAGAGCCAATTCAAAAGTTTGGGGTTGATTTTATGGTATCAATTATGTAAAGATTTTATTTCCAGTCTAGAAATTTTTTGTGAATTATACACTAGTACAGGTTATAATATGTTGATGGTTATAATGCTCAAAATTATGGTAATACAACAGTTATATGTATATATTAGAAAAATGTTCTACAATTGATTAGTAACTCAAATTTAATTATAAACTCCCAAGAATTCCAGTATTCTCCAGAAATTTTTCTTATTTTATCACTCTTCAAATGAAATATTTTCATTAAACTATTTGATATATTATGTAAGTTCAGGAATTTAGAACAGCCTTGCTACCTGCTTATATACATACAAACAAATATACAGTACTTGTCCAAGTATCTTTATAGATTACATATATGATCAAACTCCATTTATCTGGACCCCATTCATCAGGATTTCTGGGCTATCCCGATATGCTTGAATAAGCACTTCTTTTTAAATTTTCATGTATTTTGTGAAATCATTATTTTTTGGAATGTTTATGAGCTCATTGAAACATTATTTACAACCTTAATATATAATATCAATACATCACAATCTTACATTCTTAAGGATATAAATGCGTATTGTTTATATATACTGAGTGATTTTTGTTTATATAATGTTATTGTTCTTATGTTGTTTTCAAGTTAGTAAGCATGTAAGTTGATAATTTTATAGATGTTAATTTTGTAATCATGTAATTTTTCAATCATTAAAAAGTATTTTCAATGTGAAATTTTAATTTCATGTCAATATCCCATTCATTTCGGTTTCTCCCAACTTTCATTAATCTGGAACAGGTCCAGTTCTATTTGAACCAAATAGGATTTGACAGTACTATCAATTATTATCAAATTTACTATATCACATAAATAATTTTGATGGAAGTTATTTAAAACATATGAAGAAAATATACATGAAATAACTTTAAAATACATGTTTTATCAAATTCTTTGAAAATTTTTTATATTTTTTAAATGAAAGGATATGTCTAATATACACATTTATATCAAACTTTCCAAGGTATTTTTTTATCTTATAAACTTCATGATAATTTCATGCATATCAAATTCCACTCAATATGATTTTTATTATGTTTAGCAGAATTGTAATTTTTTTTAATATTTCATATCACTATTTAAACTGACACAATTCTATGTGTAGTAAGCCATAACTTCTATATATTAATTTCAAAATGCCTTTCTCTCTTTTTCTAGCAAATTTTTAATTTAAATTAAATTAAATGGACTAATGTTTTCATCTATCTTAAATGGCCTTCTTCAGGATAAGTATAATTTGGGGGCAAGAAAAAAAAGGGGAAAAAGCACGATATATCTGAATCCACAGTAAATATGACAGGGTGCTTTTTTCTTTGCCCATCTAAAAGCCCAGGCCTAGCACTGACCAACCCTCATTTTTGGTTTACATAATGCACATTAGATAATTTCCAGGCTTCTGAAGAATCAGATGTTACACAAAAACATAATTTCTTACTTTAATTCAAAGTGTAAGACATTTAAATCATAATTATGTATACTTTTATCATTGTTGGAAAAACTTAATTTGTTAAAAAATTTTGGATTTTGCTGTTACTATTTAATTCTTTGTTTAGAATCTAATTTTTTACACAAATGCTTTATAAATTGTTCAATTGCATATATTCTTAAATAACACATATATGATAATTGAACAATTCTTAAAAATACTTATGTAAAGACTTCATTTGTGTAAAGAATATATGACAATTTACTAATTATCTGTAATATCTACTATTATAACACAAATCAAAATATTTCAAACTTTTACTCATACTTATATTTTTGATATAGACGATTTTTTTTCACACATATGTCATTTTCTAATTTTAGATATTCTATGGCTTCATTTTTTATTTCTTCTAAATCGTCCTTTTCTTTTTCCACAGCTTTTACTCTTTGTAACTGTAGATAAACAACAATTTTATATTTTTTCAATTGTTATAAATGTTAAATTATCACAACTAAAAACTACATTTTTATGCTTATTTTACACAATTAATCATACAAATACTATATTTGATTTTTTTTCAATNATGATATAGATTTAATTAACATTAATGTAAAAATTCCCATATAATTTGCTGTCAAATAATCAGCATCGTTACACAAGTCACACCTTCTTCTAATAGTTAAATATATCATTAATCTATTTATTGTTCTGCTATGAAGCAATTGTTATAAATGTTAAATTATCACAACTAAAAACTACATTTTTATGCTTATTTTACACAATTAATCATACAAATACTATATTTGATTTTTTTTCAATATTTAGCCTGTCTGTTTAACTAACTATTTAATAATTATATGAAGAAATACAAAAAATCCTCATTATTTTGAACTTAAACAGTTCAAAATCTCATTAGTTTGTAACTGTATACTATTTGTCCCAGCTACATTTATAAAGATTTATATGTTAAGGAATTTGATTAGTTCAAAATACAGCTACTTTGTAGTTGATGGTGATGCACTTAGGGACTATATTGTGCACTCTACAATTGAGCAAAAAGACTAATTAGGCATGCAGCTTTTGCCATAGTTTTTGCAGATTTAACGTAGAAAAGAACATCCAATTTCTGGTATTCATCCTGTTAGTATACTAAATACTTAGATTGGACGTCATGCCAACAGTTGTATTAACTCAATTAAAGACTTCAGATAAGGAGGCATTAAAGAAATTCAAATAAACACTTTATTTCTGCAAGCGCTTTCAACGTAATTACACACGTTGTCCTCAGGCAGTTTGAATAACAAAAATATTTCTAACAGACTATTTAAATTTAAACAGTCATGACATTAGCCGTTTTGGAACTTAACTTTTAAGAATAAGTAAATTTTAAATTAAAAGTTTTTGCAAACATGTAAAACTGACGCGCATGCACCTTAACACACACAATCATAAAAGCCAATTGGAAGAGCACCTTAAGTGCATGTTACATTAAAATATAAATATAAACAAACATGTAACATAATTTACAAACATATGTAAAACACTTGTAACTTATATTAAGATACATGTAAAAGATCAGTATGCATGCGTCTTACATTGGATATGCGGGAAATGAATGCAGAATTATTGTTGATTTTATGTATCTTAAAGCATCATCCTATTTTAGCAAGCATGTGCTTAACTACACCTATCCAGTTCTGTGAGTCAAAGACACTCATCAACCTGTTATCTAGGTGGAACAAATTTCATGGTCATTAATTCACATGATTCATTTAGCTCAGACAACAAATGGGTGGATACCCTTGACTTAGAACTGAGTAAATGTAAAGAACTGAGTGCTTGCTAAAACAGGCTGACATTTCAAGATACACTTTATCAGATAGCAATTACATCAAATTATGTTTTTACTTATTAACATTCCAGTAGTTTATGATAGTATGTCATAAATTTTTAAACACATCATTTTTGGTTTAATGTGTACTGTGTATGTGGTCCTTTTTATTTTTTAAAACGTTTGAACAGCCAGAAAATTCTAATAAATTTGATCTTATGTTGAATTTTAAAATAAAATGATCTTTGTATTTGATTGATGCGAATTCTAACTTGATACTCTCCTAGTTCAACATGAAAATATTTCTTGGTAATTTACAGAGTGATTTTTAATTAATGCAAAACTTTAAACTTTAATAACTTTTCAACTGTATGAGATAAAAAATAAAAGTCAAAAACCATATTATATAGAATTTATTGCCATTTAATGAATTAGGTTTTTGAAATAACTACCTTCACTGACAATAATAGTTTTTAACTGATTTTTGAACCATTCAATAACAAAGGTCTTTCTTGCAATTACCATTATTTTTTTTTTTATTGTGTCTATGAATACTTCAATAGTTGTAAGAGAATTGTGATATACTTTGACTTTAAGATAGCCTCATAAAAAGAAATCATATGGGTTTTAGTCAGGGCTACAAGGCAGCCACTCCATGCCACCATCAGTATATTTTTTATAATCTAATCTAATTAACCACTTCTCAAACATACTGTAAAAGCTTTTGTACACTTGCTTTGTACAACAGGGCCTTGCATATAACAAGCACAATGATGTTTATGCCCAACAAGCATTTTAGAATAAAATTTCTTTTCCAATAATTTAACATAGGCAACAGAAATAATGTTCTTTTTGAAGAAGAATGGTCCAACAACTCTGCTAGCACTGATAGGACACCAATTAGAGAATTAAAATTTTGATAATAATTTTTTACAATAAACATGTTATTCTAAAGTGTGTGCCATCATTTTGAAAATGGCTGTTAACATTAATCAATCATTGACATTAAAAATGTAAACATTGTACTTTTTTAATTTTATTTCTATCTTATTTAGGTGAAAAGTTATTAAAGTTTAAAGTTTTGCATGAATTAAAAATCACATCTGAAGTTACTTGTCGTTCTGAAGTAAGCAGCTTTAATATATATTTATAAATAACAAAAATAACCTTAAAATCTATAAAAAGCCTAAAAGTACTAAAAGTAGCAAATATCACTTAATAAAATTTTAAAAACAGTTTGCTTTTACAATCAATATCTATTTCAGATTATAAACAAATATACGAGGGCTATTTTTTAAATAAGGTCCATTTTTTAATAAGAAAAATAATACTGTAAATATCATTAAAATATATTTTTTCCCATATTCTACATACTTTTATCTACTTTTCTACATAATTTCCATTTTTGTTCAAACATTTGTCATATTGCTCAAAAATTTTTTAAATTCTGACTTCAAAGAAATCTGCTGCCTGCTGCCAGAAGACATTAGGCCACGCCACTTGTCTTGTATGGCACAGCGGAGTTTTCTCAATGTCACAACAAGAGTCAGAATTGATTGTTGTGCCTCTTGGCATAAAATCCACTAACAAAGTTCCTTTCCTGTCCCAAAAGATAGTTGCCATGATCTCTCGTGCTGAAATTGAATAACAGATCATATCTTACAGTTGGCAGGCGACTCAATTTTCTTAAACATTATAAACTTCTACAGTTCAGCATAGACAGACAGACAATATGGCTACAAATGGCATCTAAACACACATAAAGCATGCTGAAAACAGATGCTCATGCACACCGCTACAATCGCGCATCATTCTCACTCTCATTCACAAACGGGCCTTATTTAAAAAATAGCCCTCATATTATAGATAATGATTGTACTAATACATGTATAGAAAACACAAATGTAATTATCTGTTAAATTAAGTAGTTAATATAATATTTAATGTTAGCTTATATCAAGTAAATATCATCAGCATTTGTTTATAAAATGTATCAATTCCATAATGCTTTCATGGATATCAAGAAAGTGAGTATACTGAAAAATTAACAATGTCAAAAAATGTAGCAACATAAAATCATACTAATAAAAATACTGACTGACTTAAACACAATGTATGATCAGATACCTTTTCAGATCTCTGTTCATTAAGTTCTTCAACTTGACGATATAATAATTCAATTGGTTCTTTAAAGCGACTACTTCCAATAATATCTTCTAGAAACTCTAACATCCCAGTATCATTTTCATTTTGTCCTTTTGGTTTCATCATAGCTATCTGCTCAACTTCCCCCTAAAACCAAATAAATCAAACAGTTTCTGTCAGAAAAACTTAGAACAGGAAAATTAGGTCAAGCAAGCGTTTAGTTAAAGACTATTTGTTTGCATTCATAACTGCATTTATTCACTTCAATGTGTAACTGCTTTATTCATATATAGATCTATATATTCTAGCTTTAGTTTTATAATAAATTTTATAATATATTGGTTATGTTAAAACCTGTCTTTTGTTTGTCCACGGACCCCTGCTGACCTACCAATGCACTCCCCACTCGATTTGTCTCCTATCCATCCAACAACCTCGAGATCGCGTTTTACCAGCCTGTGCAGATTAAGTGGTCAGAAGGGAATAACCCCTGACCCCCCGCTTATCTCACAAATATGTTTGTACTCCCCATATGCTTGTCTCAATATTATGCTTAATCTTTTACTTCAAGTATGAAAAGTCTGTTACAACTACAGTAGAGTCCTGCTAATCCGAACTAACTGGGACCAAGCCCTGTTCAAATTAGCCAAATAATTGAAATAATGCAGAAGCAAGCAGTAAAACAGGTCTGGTTTATATAGATCCAACACCATCAATGACTTTTGTATCTGTTTTTGTGTGTAAGTACATTATAGATCTGCTGTTTTAATAGACCAGTGTTTCTCAAACTTTTTTGTCAGGTGGCACACTTGAAATTATTAAACAAAATTCACGGCACCCCTATTATTATTATTATTATTATTTATTATTTTGCTTTTTACGGTTAGTAAAGATATGAAGGATGAGAAGACTTTGAAAAAAATAAAAGTTTTTTATTAAAGTAAGTTTATTTCCAAACAACACAAAAGCATTCAAAACAAAAGTTATTATTATAAAGGTATCTTTTAATTATTTATTTAATTTAATACTTTAATTCAATTATTTTAAGTAATTTTAATTTAATTATTTAAAAATTTCGCGGCACCCTTGTGGCGTTCTTGCGGCACCCTAAGGTGCCGCGGCACCCGCTTTGAGAACCACTG